GTTAATAATTGTTTGAAATAGACCAAAAGTAGTCTGCCAGACTGAGCTTGTGGTAAAACGATGGAATGTGGATGGGCATTTACCCTGTGAATTATCGAATTACACCTTTGTGTGCAGTAGCGAAGCAATACAAAGTTACATTTTATTTTTGCAAATTCTGAAAGTAAGTATTATTGGTCACTTGATTGGCACATGGTCTTGTTATTGTAATGCTGTTAGCAGTATAATTAAATAAGGGTTTTCCACCAGGATAGTAAAATGTAAAGTTTAGCTGGCTGATCTGAACTTCCATGCTTTACAGTTTTATTGCCAATAATAGACAACTTCGGCGTCGCTTTGAAAACATTTGTTCCACATCAGCGCCTTCCATCTGGGAAAACCTACACCGATGTATGGTCCTTCATTTGAATTTCAAATTTCTTGCTTTTAATAAACCAGACTACTACTAATACAAATACTATTACCACTACTACTAACATTACTTCTTCTTTAAGTTTATGAATTGTTTTATCAGTCTATTTGTATCAGTCTGCTTTCTGCAATAATATTTCTGCAATATCTCCAATGAACCAATGATTATTTTAAGCTTATAAGGTACTCTCATAGCTACTCAGGCAGTGCCACAGACATAGTACCTTGTAGATTTTAGAGCTGTTCTGAGCAGACACCTTTTAGTACACGGCAGCATTGGAATGGAACAAACTCCCAGTTGAGATTAAGTTAAGCCAGTCAGATCGCTGTTTTAATCGAGCATGTGGTGAATGGTTGTTAAATGCTAATTAGTCTGAATTTTTATGTAGTCTTAGAAATATTTATTATTGTAGTGGATGTTTTCATGTTTATTTTATTTTATTTTAATTCTATTGGGATGTGTTTTTTTGTTGTTTTTTTGGGTCGTATTTTGTAGGAGTTGACTGTACAGGGCACCTTTACTCATCTGCAGCTTGCCTTGCCATCTTTATCAGACTACAACCACAATGGAAATAATTTTGTAACTTTCTTGTGTTCTCCTCAACAGTTCAGATAAATGTTTAATATCACAGTGATCGCATCTTGTTATACATTTATTTTTGTTACTGTCTAATTAATCAAATCATATCAATTATATTCATTGCTTGTGGTCACAGATGGATTTTGGCAAGCTACTCAACCACCAAATAAATTTTCACAGTAGTCTGAGTCTAAATAGGCTCTCTGGTTTATATCCATCAGCAATGATTGATCAAACAACAGCCAATAAGCTAAAAGTAATTCCTCTCTCAAACAATACCATCACAAGGATCCTTTATGATGTGTCAAAGGAAGAGCAGCTTAATGACAAAGTACGAGAAAGCCGCCACTTTGCTCTGCAGATGCCACCTTAACTACATCAAAACACAACCTGTCAAAGCTTGGATTTTCTCTGCACATGATGAAGAAATGGGCTCCAACCACAGGGCTGTTTTGTTTCACAGTGAGGCCCGATGGCTGTCACGTGGGAAAGTTTTATACACAATCTATGAAATGCAATTTTTGAGGAAGAAGGTAATGAACTTCCCGCAAGTTTAATGATAAAAACTTCCTCATGAAAGTTTCACTCAACCTCAGTGAACTAAATCTGCAGATGCAAGGCACCAAAACACACCTTCCACAGCTGGCAGATAAAATCACATCATTCACAAGAAAACTGGAGATGTGGGAGTAGCGGCTTAAAGAGGAAAAGATAGATTCATTTCAGAACCTGAAATCATTCATTGAGGTTAACAAGCTTCAGAACACAATGATCCCATGCATGAAAGCTCACATCTCTGCCCTCCAAAAACATTTCCAGTGCAGAATCCTAAACAATATGACTGGATCCGAGACCCCTTCAGTGCAACACCCCCTGCGGACTTCAGCACTGCAGAGCAGGGACAGTTCATTGATGTCACCTCTGATTCAATAATGAGGTTGCAGTTTCAGTCCAAGACACTGGCTGCATTTTGGATTGGAGTGGAGAAGAATTACCCACTGCTACGCGGAAGAACTGTGGCCACACTCCTCCCCTTTGCAACATCCTCCTTTTTTTTTTAACGACCGGATCTTAAATGAGTTTCTTCTTTTTAAAATGTTGTTGCTATTTTATTGTTTGTTGTATTGTTCAGTACTTTATGAGCTCAAGTGTAATTGAATAGCATAATTCAGAGGTTTCAATATTACTTAGGTTCTATCTACCTAGTAATCAATTACTGTCAGGTTGTGTCTTAAATACTTTTGGAATGTAATTTAAATGTATGGTGCGGACTGTATGATGTATGTGAGTGTGAAGTCCATATGTGTTACTGTTGTTACTGCAGCCTTATGCAGCACTGATGCCCAAAACAAATTTCCCTTAGGGGTCAAGAAAGTTGATCTTATCTTACCTGTGTGAAATATGTTTCTCTGCTGTGGCCTCCATCAAGACAAAATACAGATCAAAGCTGGACAATGAAAATTAAGTAAGAGTGCCAGTCTCACAGCAAGATCTGCAGCACAAAGCAAGCCCACACCAGTCACTGAGAAGATGCTGAGATTAAAAGTTTATTTTTTGAATTGTCAATTGTTTATTTCAGAAGTCCGAGCCACGTTTTCACAACCAGATTAAACTTTTATTCCATCATGTGAATACGTATCTTAAATGCAGATGCAGATGTGGAATAAGCCCCTAAAAGACAACCAAACCATAGAAGAAAAAACACATTTACATGTCTTTAAAAAATTAACACTCTGTACATACTATATATGCTATAATGGATGAGCAAACATCCTTGGTAAGAATCTAGCTAATGTACTCTATATTTTATTACATTTTAATGGTCTCACTTGGAGGAGGAGCACAGCAGAGTGGGGGGCAGAGCTTCATCGCGTCATTTATACCCAGTTTACGTGACCCTGAACTCATTCCAAAAGTCCACTGAGTCCTCCCGGAGTCACACAGGCAACATGTGTGGCGCGGCTGCCGGAGGTGATTGCAGCTATTCTAGTCAATGCTTGTACTCACACCAGAAGCGTTGCAGCGCTTCACAGAAGAATCCCAGACGCAGTGCTCCACTCCACAGAAAATACTATTGAATTGACTGAAGCCGTGGCAAGCAGCACATAGCAGATGAATCGGGCAGAAGTCAGACACAGAAACGGCATAGATAATCTTGTCAATTTTCGAAGAAAACACCCTGTCCAGACTCCCGATCATATATCAATCATAAAAACACAGATAAAATAGACAAAAAAGGAAATAGTTTAACTATGTAGCCTAATCCATGATAGAAGCTCAAAAATCAAGGACAACTGACCAAATCAACAAAACCTGAACATGTCAGTGTGGTGGGGAAAGATTCCCCAAGTACAGGTTAAGGTGTGGTGGTGTTGAATGCAGCCTGGACTTAACTCCTCCACTGGCCAACCTCCTTATTAGGCTTAGGCTATATAAGCCACCTGTGCTCCCTTGCTCTCTCTGCTTCCTGATCTGTCCCTGCCGTGGTTGGTGCTGTGGAACCTGCCTTGTGACCTTTTGAATGTTGTATATTCATGACCCATCTCAGAGGTGGTTCCTCCTTGTTTTAACTACTGCTGTTTTGCCTACACACTCTCCTGTTTTGCCCTTTGGTTCTGTTTTGCCTACATACTCTGCTGTTTTGCCCGATTGTTTGTGTTTTACCTACTTAATTCATTTAGTTTCCTGTTTTGCCCTTTTGTTTGCCCTGTTGCCCGTTAGTTTGTTGTTTTGCTTTAGTTTAGTAGTTAGTATAGTTTGTTCTTGCAACTGGGATACTGGTTACTGGGTTACTTGGTTGGTTTGTTTGTTAATTTGTCTTTTGTATTCAGTTTATATTTTGAGCAGGGTACCATCTTGCTGGAAGGCTAGGCACCCATCACTTTTATGCATGTGAGTAGTTGCACGGGGGGCACTATGTAGACTGCACCATTTTTGCTGTGAACATTGTGTTGAGGTTTGTAGTGCTGCACTTAAGGTGGGTAGTGGTAGCACTCCTCAGCATAGTCTGCCTCTCCTCTGACCCCTGCTTAATTTTGGTTAAAGTTATTTTGGGGCGCTGGAGTTATCTTTATTTGAGCTTGTATTAAAGCTGTTTTTAACTCTTGATTGTAATAAAGAAGTTTGTTTTTTTTATTAAAAAAATTATTTGGTATATTTTGAATCACGTCTCTGCCTCCTCAGTAACGTTCCTGTGTGCTTTTTCTCTTTGTTCTCCTTTCAATTGAGATTTAACCGGTATTTCCTGGTGTGCAAATTCCCTAGGTGGCGTAGTTGGTTTTCATTTAATTCCCCCTCCCTGGTCCACTGTGCCACATCAGCAAAATCAGCAAAATCAGGCAGGTAAAATGCTCTTATTCTGAAACAGGAGTGAAGTGACTGCTTCATTTGATAAGAACAGCTTAACATTTATGTCTGATCTTGTGACTAACCTGCATGCAGGTTCTCTCGTGTGGCCGCGTCTTTAATCAATTGACATAAGCTTTGTGGCTTGCGTAGGGTCTCCCTCCCAGCTGGGGCCCTGGGTCGGCTGCCCTCCTGCTCCCACACTACCTCCACTTATGGACTCAATGAACATTGTGCTTTGGCTCAGGGGTTAGAGTGGTTGTTCACTTGTTCAGAAGGTCAGTTGTTTGATTCCCAGCTCCCCCAGTTAGCATGTGTAAGTATCCTTCGGCAAGATACTGAACCTCAAATTGCTCGCAATGGCTGTTCGATCGGAATGTGACAGTGTAAAAGCATTTTGAGTAGTTGAAAGACTAGAAAGGCACTACACAAGTAGAGACCATTACCACGTGCATATTACATATCAAAAACATACATTACTAAAACTTAATATAAATAATACACCCCTGGTATCAAAGGCTTAAACAGAATATATATTAGATGTGTGGAAACATGCGAACAACACTACAGGATTACATGAAGACTACATATATCCAAACAGCTAGTGATACAATTCTCAAGTACGAGAACTATCAGAACAATGACACATTAGGATGGGAGACTCTCACAGGTCCACTATGACCTGGGAGGCAAGAGTCATGTGACAGATCTGAAGAATTCAGTAGGCTTTTCTTTATAATCCTAGCTAGCTTGTTTACTTGTACTGTTTGAAGGTAATATGTGAAGAAGCATGTGAAAAATCAACCTGCGGTGTTCCTTTACTCTTACACTATGAAAGAACTGCTTGTAATGATTCCTCAGCTTAATCCCAGTGTAGCATAAAGACAACAAATTAATTTTTTTATAATCAATTCCTGAAAATGTGTGTATTGTAACATTACCAAAAACAATATATTGTGAAATTCACTTCCAGTGTGTCTTAATTGTGCATTTAACTTTAGCACTACTCATCTGCTGCATTGTACCATATAAAAAATATAACTAAAAACAGACTGGCCACTGTAATATAGAGCATGAAGAAAACTTTGTTGATTCTTTTAGCCACTCTGGTCCAGTAACCAGGCTTTGCTTCTTCGATCCTGCTGTTGAGGAGCACAGTCAGTGTTTTCTTCACCTCCCTCAGGTCATCTGAGACCTTCTCCAAGGAATAGGACTCAGTCAGTTTGCTGTTGCTAACCTGCAAAAGATGAGATTATGGAAAACAGTTTTGCAAGCTGTTATATTTGACATTCCGGTTTTTGTGTCCATTATGATGAGAATAAAAGTATTTGCTCATCCAAATTACAAACAAACATACTTTCTCACTGGTATCTTGTCATGTAAATTATTAAATATTATAGATATAAGATATCCATCTCTTAATGATGTACTGTCAACAGTTTTCTGTTTTTGTTTGGATTTTTAAATTTGGGTGAACAAACCCCTAAAAACAGGCCTAATTAATTGTCGGCCTGCGTGCCACACAGGGCCAAGAAAAAACATCTGAGTTGCCCAGCATACATAAATCTGCTATATGATGAAATAAATAAACTATATACAGTGCAAGTAGCTAACAAGTGAGCCATCTTGTTTCCATCTGAACTCTGTTAAGAGTTGTAAATGAGAAGGAGCAGGATGTTTACAGATGTCAATCATATCTTTCACAAATTAACCTTTTCTCATTTTTTCATGCTTAGTAGCAAGTCCAAGTGTGGTAGTGGGATGTTGTCGCGCTATGGTGTGGACAGGCCGCTGTACATCTCATATTCTTATTGCAACACAGGGTTTTATTTTGAAGGATTCGGTTAGTATTTCCAACATGAGGTTTTTGTTTTCTTTCTTCATCAAACTTTACTGAATTATAAATTATGATCTTTCACTATTGTATCTATGTTATAATGGGGTTTATGTTACGGTGGATATTTTCAGAGTTCCATAACAGGAAGTATAGTGGAAATTTTATTACCACATTAATTACCATTTGCTAGAATTATGTCATTACCAAAAGTTAAAAAAGGGGTTTAAATAGGCTGCTTAAAATATCTGGCCCATCTACATTTTCTGATTTTAAAATCTGGCCCAATTGAATTTGTAATTGAATGCAATCTAACCTCTTTGGCCACCGACAGCAGTTCTGATGGAGTTTCTCCAGTGGACATATCACAGACACAAGCAGTCAATTTCTTCTTGTCTGAAAGGATATGTTTCACACAAAGATAGTTGTTGCATATTCAAAATTATGTAATTAACCAGTGTGTATTATAAGTTGTAAATGTGCATTCAAATCATAACTAAAGGCGTACGCCATTATAGCAGTAAATATAATATCAACAATAGCAAACTAAACAACAAGATGATATCTAGAGGTTTGTAGAAATCTATGCTTAATCTCACCTCTAAAACAGTTGCGGAAATGTACTTTGCCATGTTTGTCCCCACCGTCCTCACTCAGGCTTTGGTCTCTGTCTGCTTCGTTGTCCTGGGATACAGAGTCTTTCTCCATCAGATTCATCACCAAAATCGTCTCCAGGAGGCTGAGCATCATCAAACCAAAACTCCCAATACAGTAAGTTGCTAAAGGGAGAAGGCAGCATTATTAATGTGGAAAAATAACTACACACTGAGTCATTATATGTGCTGTCCCTGCTCATATGAAAGGCAAGACTCTGAGTTTCTTTACCTATAAGTGGAATCTTGTTTGATGAAGCAGGCAGAATGTCATTCAGAATAAGTTGCAACACAGTGACAGCAAGCAGCACAGTGACTTTGAAACTGAGCTTCTCGCCCCCTCTGTCTGAGATCAGGAAGGAGGACAAGTCCAGACACAAGAAGAACAGGACGGGCAGCATGAAGTTGACAACATAGAGGAGAGCGCGCCTCTTCATGGTGATCTGTGAAATCATGTTTAAGGATAAGGTGGGTGATCTACCTGGCGATCTCATTTTGTTAGAATCAACATTTTTGAATCTCTTAAATAAAATATTTCTTTTAGTTAATCCCTTGCATGTGCTTCCATTATTTTCTATGGTGTCAGAGTTAGGCCATGACTCTCATAGTGTCAACTAAGGCCGCTCAAGGCAGCAACTTACAGAGAAATGTTTTTAAAAACATACTGTACACTACCAGCTCAGCCTTTTGTTTTTACAATCTGCCACTAATTTACTGGCAGTTTTGAAATATTCAGAAATTGACTGATACTGAATACTGATATATATATTTACTTTAATTTTACTAGTTTTTATTTTCTGAATTCATTTCTAGAATCGCCGACAATGTATATTAAATTACTTAACATGTTAAAGAATATTTAACTTAAATATTGTCAAATTTCTTCAAGAAATCAGCCTTCACAGTACTGTTGCATAGTCATATCGATGCAAAATAAGGATCCACCAAAAAGTGTACTTTCATTCCAGCTCAAAAATCAATGTCAGCCACCATATTGATAGTCAATTAGTTTTCCCCTGATTATTATTTTCATTTATTCAGATTTTATTCTTGCCTGCCTCTTCCTCTAGACCTCTAGGACTTACATTAGCCAGGTGGCCAGAAACACAACTTCAAATGAATGATTATGATAATTCACCATATGAACTTAAAAAATTATGATATGCTGTGTTGTTGTGTTTACTTGTTTCCGCTGTCCCCAAACAGTAGAAAGTCTACATCTGAAAACAAGTATAATCAGTAAAATACTAGATGTACATCTACTTACTTGAGACACACAGAGATGGAAAATAGTTTCCACCTCTGGTTGTTTATATCCAGACATACTTACAGTGTAAACAATCGTGCTTTGTTTAAGGTTGAAAGTGCTGATATTCTGGTTGGTGACATTCATGCTGATGAACAGCCACTCATACTGGGTCCGCAGGAGCTCATGTGACCACTTTTTGATCTCTGAAGAGTCGAAAACTTGTTCAAGCCGTATTTGCTGGACTGAAATGGGAGATTTAAAAAAACTGAGGTGTCTTATCAGTTCAACAAAGAAGGAATGTATATGGTGGCTCATGTGACAATAAATTGTTAAAGTCCCGCAGCCCACAAACACAAGACATTTTCAACTAATGTCTAGAACCAAAGGGCTCACCGTTGTGTACGATAGACTTGAAAGATATGTTGCAGCTCTGAATGTCAAAGGGGAATTTGTAAACTTGCATCTTGCAGGTGCTGACCAGAACCATATCATTTAGACGTTCGACCAGACCGGAATATTCAATGAGGAGATAAGGACTGGGAGGGGCCTTATCCATTTCTGTCCTGTGAGTGAAAAAAAACACACATAATGGCAAAAGCTATATGCTTCAAATAAAATTTCACATAGCGTATTGTTAAATATACCATAAAACATAAATCTACATCATTTACAATATGATGCATTAAATATTTTAGTCTTGAACTCTTTGTTTTCCACTTCATTACCTTGTGTTTCTATAAATTTACAAGACAGTTTTGTACACATAGGGTTGTACTACTGAATTACTGAACTTAGTGGGTACCTACCATTAGTTTGTGAAAGATGTACAGGGAATAAGGAGGTAACAAATTTATATTTAGGAAGGACCTTGAATTCAAGTACTGTAGATTGTAAATGATTACCCAGTACATAATACATTGAAATCTAGAAAACGTCTTGCAGAAAATGTGTGATTCCAGACAGCTGAAATGTTTTGTTTGAAAAGCTGGAAGCAAAGCTGCTGATAAGCTGAACTTAAGGAAGAGTATGAGTCTACTGAGTAGTTAGAGATTCAGAACCAGTTAACCAGTGATGCACTTGTTGTTGTTGTTACACAGACACATACCATCTACACACTTACTGATTGTCTGTTTTTGATTAGAGTTGATAATAGTGATTTAGATAACTGAAGTTGTGACTGTTAATCCGTGCTGAAGTTGAATAAATCCTAATATAATTTTAAGTCGTTGCTTTGTGTGTGGTGTTGTAATAGTAACAGTTGGTTATTATGTAAATGTGTTTCATTATTGATATTTTATAGGGTAACATATAGTATAGGTTGAGGCGTTGAGCCCTGCTTCCAGGTAGTTCCCTGTATTTAGTAATCTTGTTTAATAATTTTATAATGTTAATAACTTATAATAATAATAATCAAACTTGCCTACCATATCTACCATACTACCATATCCCAATATCCCAGATTATACATGTTTTATGGATGCAACATTACATTTCTGCAAACTTACCTTTTCAAAATCTATAAAAACTATTTTTGAAATCTTTGGCAGGTCCAATAGAATTTGTAGGTTTAAACAGTTTGTTAACAACAATGGAGTCATTATTCTGTGTGTTTTGATTGTTTCCGACTTAAAAGTCATTACAATAATCCAAATGCTTACATTTTTGTCATTTCTAAACGTTGACATGATGCTCCATCGCCACTTACTGTTGTGAGTCTATGTGGTTGTGTGACATGCACATACATTAAAACTTACATCTCTTCAACAGTTATATCTGGCTTCCACAATGCTTCAATAGGAACTGATATACTATCAAGACCACAAAACTCCTTTGGATCCCACAGAATGTGTTCATTGTTCCAAGACTTGACAGGAAACCAAGGGAGAGGGGGAGGGGATAAGGAATCAAGGAAAGAAAAAGAATGAAAAGATGTAATTTAAAGGAAATCATTTGAGTTTCCACTACAGATGAACAGTTGAGAATGAGAGAGAACTAACCATATAAATCCAAACGTAAGGAATGAAAGTCTGGTCAATCTCTCTCTATGAGGAAAGAAATACAGTACGTGTGAAAGTCTTTCCAGCAGCACAATTAACATCATCATAAGCTGACCATACACACAGCAACACGGTGATGAAACATAGCACTATGCTGATTTACTATAAAATGCAAGTTAACACAAATCATATAACACTTTGAGGAAACAGAGGTTCAGTTAATAAATCCGAGCATGAAACCCCAAACCATTTAGCACGTTAATTCTTTTTTGAAAAAGACAAAAACCACCTAAAGCGGACGTAAAAACTTCTTAGCAAAATTTGCTGTTTCCATTAACCTTTTCTAATGCGATACATTAAAATGCGCATAAAAAGGTTTATGGAAACACAACTTGTGTCAGACTTAAGCATGCTAGCATATGGCTGTTACCTGGAAGCAGTAGTATAGACATGGTATGAATCAAACTTCAAAAAGTATCCATACAAATGAATTGTTCTTTCAATTTTGACCAACACTGCTATCTACTGCAAAAACTAACTTCACTTCCACAACATTTTATTGTACTTAGATTTTTTTTTTATTGAGTTCAGTAAAAGAAAAACAACATATCTTCTTTGGGAAAGGAAATAATCGTCACCATTTAAAAGAAAAAAATTACAGAAAACATAAAGCTTAATTTAAAACTTACCACATCTAGGATGCTATAGAGCTGTATGTGGAGCTGTACGATTGTAGTTGTATTGTAATTTTTAACAGGCCGGGCCATGGTGTACAGATCTTTTTTTCTGGTCAGATTCAGGTGGTTTAAAACATCCTGATAACCACATTTACCCTCAGAGGAATCCTTATCTCCTGGAAGAATGTCAAGATACAATCAGAGTTTATCCTTGAAAGGGAAAAATAAATAAATTCCAACTGCAATGCTCTTGTTTTGCTTTCAAATTGAAACTTGAGTTTTACATTTTTATGTTTGTCTGTACATCAAATTTATGGGTGTTTTCTTAATTAGTTATTATTTAGAAGATATTACATTCATCTGTGTGATCCACTGCTTCTGTATTATCAAAGCTTGAAAAGCACCAGGGTCCTCATTTATAAAATGTGTAGGATCCATGCTAAAAGTGTACAAAAACCAAAAATGGTGTATGCAAAAAAAAATGATATAAAACTGTGTGTACACACACACCTACAGGTAACTTTCCCTTTATAAATCACACTCCACCTGTAAATGTGGGGTGCTGCGGTTCTCTTGGGTTGGTCTGTCTAATGCAGGTCTGATATTCAGCGCACTCATCTAAAATCACAGCTCTAGGGAATCCAAATCAGCGTATTAGCCAGCCATCATCACGGGTCTGAAAATCTTTGTGGTTCCTGAGGACTCTTTTATGTTGCTCACTAGCAAAGCACAAATACCACTGCTGGTTTTATAATATTTATGAGAAAGGGATAACGTGAAGGGATATTAAATATAAGAGAGGCATCCTTATACCTATTCCTGTCAGATGTAATTGAATTTTTATGTTAAATATTATCCACAGACATGATAAAACTATTATGGTGTGTCAGTGGCGTTTTCAGTTTCAAGACTTCTAGGCTTCAGGAATAAGGAATACATATGTATATATTTATTTATACATACTTTCTTCAGAGCTCTGATTGAAGTCCTGTTGATCATCAAGAAGTTCTGGCAGCTCTGTGTAATTTGAGATACTTTCACCTGACAGAAAAAAGAATACAGATCTTTAATCTTTCAATATGATATCCTTGAACACATCTCCTGCTTTCCTACGCAGAACGATTAAGTGTTGACAACATGTATTAGTTATTTATAACCAAGAATCAACTTAGAAAGGCTTGTTGTGATATTATGATATCACAACTAGCCTAGGTCTTAGTGTTTGTATGACCACTTTAATTTACCCTGACTCAACCTGATTCAACTACAGCAGTTTAAAGTGAAAGAAAACTCTCTCAAAAATAATTTTGAAATCGAATGAATCTTATGTTTCGACATCCTAGAATGTGTCATTATGAAAAGAATATTGTCAGTAAACCAAATTCAATAAATATTTTGTCACTAATCTCTGGTGGAATTTAGATATGTAGGTATTGTGGTTTTCACCAGTTTTGAGATATAGTGAATCTATCCAACTCCAAAGTGAATGGGATTTTGTTTGTGGAGCTCATAGTACTGTAAAATGGTAATTACAAAAATTCAACAGCAATGTTTCTAGGAACAGTGTCCATGTTACTCTGACTTATCCACATACCACTCAGGTTTTAGAAAGACATTTTAACAGTATTTTTGAATTTATTTTTCATGCTGACAAAACAAAAACAAAACCCCATTCACTTCCATTATATTAGGGGTGGCAACAGAAATTTCACACAGACAAAAACACAATATTATGTCTTGCTAGATACCGGTTAAGTATATTTGTATTTTATGTATTAATTTTATAACTTTCTTACTGCTTTTACTGTGTATCTTATTTTTTGCTCTTGTGAAAGCACTTGTAAGAAAAGTGCTCTATAAATAAATATATATAATTATTAGTAGTAGTAGTAGTAGTAGTAGTAGTAGTAGTAGTAGTAGTATTAAGGATTTACATAATTGTGAGAACTGATCCATTCATATTCAACTTTGAAACTCTGATTTACTGTGTATGTTCTTCATTACTTAAAAGAAATGACAAACATTAGTCTGTGTGGACATCTACTGCTTTCTTTTACATTTTAACAGAGTTCTAATGTTTGTCACTTTTACTGTATGTGCTCTAAATTGCTAACAGTTTAGAAGACATTTGTCTCTATGGGTGTTTCTGAATGTATTATCAACAACACCAGCTCACCAATATCTGCAGTAATTTACAGTGATTGTGGTCACTGAAAGGCCATTATGAGATGAGTGTTGGCAGGACTGACAACTTTAATGTCTTCAGTGCACTTTAATGATTTATTAAATGTGAGCATATTTGCACTCATTTCAGTCTATATAGATTTTCCATTTGAGAGCTATCTGTCCAAATTCATGTTGTCCAATTAAAGGACACGAATGCATTTTTCTACTTTTTTCAACCTAGAGTTAAACTGATATAATAATTCAGACTGGGAATCTCAATGTCAGACCAGGCTAATTCTCATGCATTAACAGACAATGTATACTTGTATAACTTTTTTCTGTTTACTGTACATACCATTAATATAACATTTGTTGTATTACTGTACACAAAAACTGCTTCAAAATAGTTACACAAAATAGTTAAAAACCGAACAGTGTTTAGATTCAAGACTTCCATGAATAATGCACCAGGAATACATTTTCATACAAATAATTACTGAGTGCTTTTGGAGTGTTTGTTTCCTCTACATACGTTCTTCAGAGCTCTGATTGAAGTTCTGTTGATCATCAAGAATCTCTGGTGGCTCTGTGTAATTGGAGGTAATCCCACCTGAAAAGAAGAGTGTGCAGGTCTTTATTTTTAATATGAGTTTATTGCTCACACATCTCCTGCTTTCCTACACAGAATAATTAAGTGTTGACATAGAATCAATTCAGAAAGGTAGTTGTGACAAGATGTGCTGAGGGTGGTCTTAAAAGTATGTACCGTACACATGTATGTACGAGCAATCACATGTGATGACAGGTGGAGATCACACCATCAGGCTAAAAGCTGTCAGAGGGTTGACGGTCTACAGTTCTGATTGACTGCATTTGCCTGTGTTGTTTTCACTTTAATGTACCCTGACTCAACCTGATTCAATGCTATCACAAACAAAACTCCATTCATTCACTGTATTTGGGTGGCAACAAAAATTTCACACAGACAAAAACAAAATATTCTGTGTGATTGATACCAATTATGGTTTTCTATAACTGTGTGAACAGACACATTAATAATCAACTCTGAAAACCCTGAAATTTAAGTTTGTCAGCAGGACTCACTAAAGCTGCTTAATGGCTTATGTCAATAAAAGAGGAAAGAAACTCAGAGAAAGAGACTCAGCCATCCTTTCCCACTCCTTACACTGACATTTTTCTGTGACACTGTTAAAATAAACAATGTTGTTTCATTAAATTAAAAGAAATACAGGTTTAACTAAACTGCAGAATAAAGAATAATCCCAATTTACCTGTGAGGGGGAGCAGAAAGAGGAAACCTGCAAGCATCATGACTGTCAGAGGTCTGCACAGTTAGTGATCATCTCTGTCCTCTCTCTGTTTTCTGGAAATGTTTGTTGCAGCAGTAATATCACTGCCTTTTACCAGAAGAGGGCTGGGCAAATGTAATGATCATTTGTTTGTCTGATGATAGAAACACACCTAATTCAACAAAGCTTCCAATAACTGTCAACACCGTCTTAACAAACCCAAATCAGTTTACTACTTGTTTCTTCTGTATAGTTTCCTATTTAGAAATACAAAAAAGCATACAAAAAAAACTAAAATTTACATTTATGAACAATAAATGTACACCTTTTCACAGGTTTGAACTGTTGCGGCACCAAGCTTTCACTTCCCTTCCAGGGCACCGTTAATTTCTTGCCCTTTTTTGCCACCGAACATTGTGTTCCTCACAATTGGCACTTTTGGTACAGGTTCAAAGTGGAAGGAGCCACTGCTTTGGAAGTATTTTTCCTTACACACTACCAGTCTCTTAAATATTTTAACAATACTACGGGTTTAATATATGGTCAGCAGTTTTAATTATTTCAACTTAGTTTCTAAGAAATCCTTTTATTTGTCTTTTTTAGTTTTAAAAGATCCCTCTAAATACTACCATATGAGCCTTAGCCACCATTGCTATGGAGAAGAAGCCAGTGAACGCTTCTAAAGAAGACTACTGTAATGCACAGCAATGCTGTGAACTAAATGCTAAAATCGGCATACTAAAGTGCACAAAATGACAATGATAATATGCTCATATGTAAGAGGTATATTATTTACCATGCTTACCATGAATTTACTGACACCACAAAAATTGGCACAGGGAAATTATATTCTGTGTACATATGAAATAGGTGGTCCTTGCAAGTGACCAAAAAATAGTGGTCTCAACTCTGACAAAAACAAGAATGTATGTGCTGGTGTGTTTGTATAAGGAGAAATAAGAGAGATTATTTATTCGTTTATTTGTGCAATACAAAGAGTATGATAAATGTTTTCAAAGCCAGTACTGTGCATACAACAGATTACTGTTATTCCATCAAATAAATACATCATGACATAATGTTGGCTAAAGCAAACAGCATTAATTACATTGCATCTTAGTAGAAAACAACTTGACATAAATGTTAAAATGATTGAAAACATTCCTGCAGTAATCCTGAGAGACAATGTACGATACATAAAGATATTTCATGGTAAAGACCATTTCCAATGTCATATTCGTGTACTACAATGTTACAATACAACCAGACCAGTGTCTACTACATACTGTGTTTCTGAACAGGCAAGTGCACATTTCCTCCTCATCTCTGCTAAAAGCAGTGTGGAAAGTGTTGATGATGCTACTGCAGGTGTGGACATAGACAGCAGGTACGATCAAAACTATGTTAAATGAATGGAACAGTTTCAGACGTTGAAATACAGTATGTTATTTCTTTAATTGACAAAGTAGTGCTTTATAGATTGAATCTTATGTCGTCTTGGCAAGTGTCAAATCTAGAACCATTTAAATGTATCATGCTTTTAGGGTTAAAAACTTCTTTGCACTTTTTTGCACCTTTTAGGCCAAGAGACACCTGCTTCATTATCCTTCCAAAACATTTAGTCATAGAATACATAAAGCACTTTTGTTTGACACAGGAATAGGGTCCACAGGCTAACAAGTGTACTGTCAGAATCAATGTGGCAAGCTCGGGGCTTGCCTTCCAGTCTTATTTTCAGGTATTCTTCAGCATACGTGTAGCAGGTCCGTATGTATAGGAAGTGTAGCGGACTGCAGTGAACACTACAGGAGCTACAGTAGTAGTATCAGCCTGCGAGTACCTTTACAATTGGAATGTCTGACTTTAAAATCTGTTTTTGCGGTCAAAAATAAAACATGTCAACATGTTTTTTTTATAAATTATTGTTACTATTTTTTATTATAAAAAGAAGAAAATGCTCTTGATTGTTGGATTGACAGTAGCTTAGAGGATCAGCCTCTACAGGGGAACAAACTTGTGCTATAGCTTACAGGCCATGAACAGGCTGTGTGTTGTTAGCAGATATTGAATAATACAGGCCAGACCAGCATTTAAATGGACCAAAGTGATGTTTGCACCTAAGTTATGCTGGTTAATGTGCTGCAGCTAACCAGCGAATTAGCTAATAACCTAATTAATTAAGCTAATTAACCAGCTGTCAGTGTGACTGTCTGCCTAGGCTGGATTGGTGACGTTACAGTTTTAAGAGATTATGATTTTAAATTTTAAAAAAGAGCAATTTATTGGCTGCATGGAAATGATAATAATGATAATTAGCTCTGGGTATAGCTAGTCATAGCAAAAGTAAAAGTTAATCATGTTTTCATTATGTAGCACTGATCATCTCTATGCATTGTTCCATTTTAAAAAGACAAAAGTTAAAAACAGACTGACCACTATTACATAGAAAATAAAGAAAACTATGTTGACTCTTTTAGCCACTCTGGTCCAATAGCCAGCCTTCTCCTCTTCCTTCGTGTCACTGAGGAGCAGGGTCAGTGTTTTCTCCATCCCTCTCAGCTCATCTGAAAGCCTCTCCAAGGCATGGCACCCCTCCGTTGATTTGGGGCTGTTGCTCTGCAAAAGTGGTTTAGTAAACTGGTTCATAGAATTATGGATTGTAATGTTATCAGCTGATACATTTGACAGTTAGCAGTTTGTGTCTATTATGATGAGAAGTACAACCCAATCCTAACCTCCTTGGCTACTGGTAGCAGTTCAGATGGAGTTTCATCAGTAGACACATCAGAGATACACGCACAGTGAGTCCATTTGTGCCCCTCTGGAAGGACAGTTTTTATCACATTCACATTCACATACAATATATTAATTAGAAAAATAACTGAAAGAACTGAAGAAATAAAAGAGAAGCTTCTATGCATCTGGATTGCATCATCCAATCCATTTCTAAGTTTGTATTAAGTCCTTCCTACTGATGTTGTCTGGTTAGGTTATCTGAAGTTATTGGCATGATGTCTTGCAATTTTAAGTATTTAAATTCTTTCTAGTCCACGTCTTTATTAAACAGGTTTTAAATCAAGTATCAGGTCGTTCAAGCCGTTGTGTGTCTGTACTCCCATATGTACATGAATGCGCTTTTTGGTTTGGATGCACAAGAAAAATATTTGCCCCTGGGCCAATCACAATTCTGTTACACTGCTGGTCTCACCTCTCCAGTTGCTGTGTTTGTTACAGTCCTCACTCAGGCTTTGTTCTCTGTCTGCCTTCTTATCTTGGGATTCAGAGTCTTTCTCCTTCAGATTCATTACCAAAATTGTCTCCAGGAGGCTGAGCATCATCAAACCAAAAATCCCAATACAGTAGACCGCTAAAGGGAGAAGGCAGCTTCATTTATGTGGACAAACTACACATGGAGTCAGTCTATGTGCTGTTCCTGCTCATACGAAGTGCACTCAATAAAGGAAAGAAGCTTCTTTACCTATAAGTGGAATCTTGTCTGATGAAGAAGGCAGAATTTCATTCAGAATAAGTTGTAACACAGTGACAGCAAGCAGCACAGTGACCTTGAAGCTGAGCTTCTCGCCCCCTCTGTCTGAGATCAGGAAGGAGGCCAAGTCCAGACACAAGAAGAACAGAACTGGCAGCACGAAGTTGACAACATAGAGCAAAGACCGCCTCTTCATGGTGATCTGTGAAATGAATGTTAAAGGGTCAGGTGGTTAATGTTTCTACACCTGCACATCTGACAAAGGCAACTGGAAACACAAGAGGTTCACAATTTGTAACAACAAAGCAATTGTAACAAGGAAATTATAACAATCAATCTCATGTCTGCAGTGTTAAAAGAAGCAACAAAGTCATCAAGTGAAAGGAGCATGCTGAAGTAAAAGTAAAATACAATAAAAAATAAAACTACTAGTTGCTGCTGTCTTTTTATATTTTCATATCAGTTCAAGAATGAAACTAAGGAAGGAAATATGGACAAAGGAAAGGGAAGACAGAAAAACCCATCTTTATCTAGTTATACGTACAGTGTAAATGATGATGTCTTGGCCAACCAAATCACTGGCATGGTTGGTGATAACTGTCATGTTGAGGAACAGCCATTCATACTGGGTCCGCATCACCTCACGAGACACCTCTGTGGCCTCTAAAGAGTTGTCACTTGCCTGGAGCCGAATGTCCTTGGCTGAGGTGGGAGGTAAAAGAACTATATGGTTGTTTTAAGTGAGATAACAAGGAATGATGATATGTGTTGGAAGCCTGCAAGCTGATGTTTGCAGCTCCCTTTACCACTGGTGGATGTTTGTTTGGTAGCCTGTTCAACAAGCAAAAGAGCAGCACAAGACATGTCTTCATACTTCATACAAGAAGGAAACCTTAGCTAGAAAGCTATTTTGAGTTTTAAAGCTTTTTTGACCTTTGTTTGAGGGTCTTTTTGTGTAGTGTGGCAGATTGATCTTTGGCTTTGACAGATTAAGTGAAAAAAAATGGCATTTTGTGAAGTGTTGCCTCAGATAATCTTAAGAAATAAAGTATATATGTAATTAATATTTAATTAATTTGGTTAATTGGTGGTGATAATAGTGGTAAATCAAAACCTACAGCTTAATGGACTTCCATTAAGTCGTCTACGTAGTAAGAGAACAAATGGTTTTCCTCTTAATGTTCCTCTTAATGTTAATGTCTTTTGTGCAACAATAAGCCCTTACAAACTCAAACATGCTTATAAACACAACTCTGCTGAACACTCTCACCAGTATGTATGACAGACTTGAAGGACAGGTTGCAGTACTGTATGTCGAAGGGGAACTTGTAAATGTGCATCCTGCATGTGCTGACCAGCACCTGGTCGTTCTGTACTTCGACGTCACCTTTATCATTGATTGTGAGATACGGACTCGGCGGGGCTTTGTCCGTCTCTGTCCTGTAAGAGAACATACAGACATGTGATCACAGACACTGACATGCACTGATATTTGTGCTCTGTTTTTCACCAAATTTAAAATCTGTATACCTCACTGTGTGGTAGGTAACTCACTGAAATGTACTGGAGGGTAACTTGAGATGCACCTTACAATGGGGTGGCACTTTTAATAAATGTCAAGTAGTGTTTTAGCAACCAAATGCTTCAGTTATTGTGCGAACAACACAATGCCCAATCACCCATTACTGCTATGCATGTGAATCAAAAACATGAAGGCACACTAAAATAACTGAAAATGTGATACTCATTTTGCTTTTACATTAGAATCTGGGAGCCATTACGTCAATCTACACATCAGAATTATGTGCTTATAATTATTTGTAATTCAAAAAAATCAATGTGTGTGTATGTGTGTGTTCGTGCACCAGGCAATTGCATTCAGACATACATTTCTTCAATAGTGAGATCCGGCTTCCACAAAACCTCCGTAGGAAGGGAAACATTATCAATTCCACAAAACTGTTTTGGATCCCAGGAAATGTATTCATTGTGCCACCTCTACAGAGAACAAAGCAGTAAGTAAAGGGGAAAGTGTGAGAGAGGGACAAAAAGGAAAAATAAATAGGCCATTTAAAGGATAAACATTTGAGTTTCCCAAGAAATGGAAATGGAAGATTTGCCAAAAAGTTCAGTCTTCATCATCTACTGAAAGAACTCACCACAACAGTCCAAACATAAGGAATGAATTTCTGGTCTTTCTCAACCTGTAAAAAGAAATATGTGTGAAAATCTTTCCAACCAGAAAACATGACAGCTCAACCAACACAGCCTGCTATTTGAAAAACTATATATTCTATATACTATATGACACAAGTTCAATCTTGACAAGACATGTTAAATCTACAGGAGAAAACTGAAGTAATAGATAAGAAAATTTATCTAGATCAAGAGGGCAATATTAAGTTAAATCTAGTGACAAAAGCCACAGCTAGCCATAACTAAAGCTGAACTATTACTTTCCCCCCTACATCTGTCAATTTTCATAAGACATAATCTTTGTAATTGAGTTTGTGGTAAACACATAAATAAGGCAGTATCTGAATCCAAATTTTGGGAACAAGAAAAATGAAAAACAAGTGTTTAGGGTATTTTTTTTGCAGGGTAAAAATAATGAGCCCCAAAAGGCATAAAATAAAGGCATTACAACAGATCTCTATCTTTTACACAGTTTGCCTGGCCAGCTGGAACAAATTTTCTTACCCACTTCATCATCAACCATTCATGTTTGCTGCATGAATTTGGCAACCAATTAAAGAGGTGGTATTATGCTCATTTTCAGGTTCAAAATCTCAATTAGTGGTTGTACCAGAACAGGTTTACATGGTTTAATTTTCAAAAAACACCATCTTTTTCTCATACTGCACATTGCTGCAGCTCCTCTTTTCACCCTATGTGTTGTACGCTCTGTTCTTGAGCTACATCTTACTTGTACAAAATCTTTGTTGGGAGTTGCACATGAGCAGTTCCCAGGTAAGGACTATTAGCCAATCAGAAGCAGTGAAGGGCGGGTCGTAAGAAACAAGGTAGTGTGATCCAAATCAAACCCGCTTCAGACTGCGACGCTAGCAGATGGTATAAGTTACTCACAAGTCCACATCCACAAAACATCATTGTTCCACATCTTACGATAAACCACCATATTTCAACAAAATTTTACATAAAAATTGGCCAAACAATTTGAACGTTTGCTCAGTAGCTTTCACATCAGGTGTAACATTAGCATTATAGTTAAACTTCAGCTGTGTTAGCCAACGTTTACAACAATTCCGCACTTGCTGCCTTGCCGAAAAATGCTACCATAGCGCAAATCGACAGACTCGACTCTACTCGGCCCTGCTCCGTTTTCCATTGCAGATAGTACCCAGAGACAGTACGTAGCTGGTCGTCATAGCAACGCCACATACAACTGCGGCGACATAATGTTCAATGCGACACACACACCAGCGATCCACACAGCTTTCTCTTTAAGTTAAAACGTTTCAACATTACTCAGAATGTAAAGACAGATAAGCGGTATGAAAACCTTCCAGCTGTGTTTTCCTCTGCCGTTGTTGCTGCAGCGGTCTTTGTGACGGTGGGAGCAGAGGGCTCTGTGAGCGGGCGGCTGGCCGGCCTCACAAGCATTCTCCCTCGGGTTGGCACAAACATCCCCCGCAGCCACTTGCGGAGCTCCTCAACTCCAAAATATTCAAGCACATTTTTGTTCCGCCATCACTTCTCATAATATATAATATTCTAAATCTACACAGCTGATTTCTCACCTCAAAACTTCTCAGAAGTAGATTTAGTGATGAAATTACATACAAAAACTGTAAAATATAAAACTTTCTGTTGCTGGCCTCTGTCTGGTGCACGCAATGATGATGCAGTGAATATTGTAAATTCTCTCTGACCAATAAGCAGTCTGTCGTGTTTTCACGTTACATTTTAGTTTCCCTCAGCTCGCTTGGAACCTCGATGGAGGTGAGGTGATACGAAAAAAAGTACCTGGAATCAGGTACAGGTGCAACATTTCTACAATGGAAAACCAAACAAAGGCGAGTCGAGCCAAAGGGCCTCCGCTCAGACTAGCTTGGTTTGAGGGCGTGCCTGACCCCGCTAGCCGCTTGGCAAACTTTATGACGCGTTTTCATTGTGACGTCACAAGTAAACGAAGTGAAGGACTGGACTACTAACCAGCTGTTTTCAAGTGGTTCAGAGCAGAGCTTTCTGTAGGAGATGGGAACTCCCTTTGGGCTGGACTTTGGGCTTTTTCACTTTGCAAACCTGTTACATGCACAAAAAAGATATATAACTCAATAAAGGAGAGGGAAAGAGCCAAAAAGCATAATACCACCTCCTTTAAAGTAAAAATCTGAACATATGAGACCAAAATAACCTCATCATCATAGAACTTCATTATTATAATTTGAACATTGACTGATAAAGCTTTAACTACTTACCACATCTAGAATAGCATAGAGCAGTACTTCCAGGTATACATGTGTGGGGCATTTGTAGTTTTTAACAGGCCGAGTCATGGAGTACAGCTCATTGTTTTTGGTCAGATTCAGGTGGTTTAAAACATCCTGATAACTGCAGTTACGCTCAGGGAAAACCCCATCTGCAGCAAAAACATAACAGAAACAGAAATTACTCCTAAAAGGAAAGTTTTCTTTTAGATTATGTTTGTGTGTACATCACATTTACTGTATGTGCTCTAAATTGCTAACACATTAATGTTAGCAATTTAAGACATTACTCTCTATGGGTGCTTCTGAATGTATTATCGAATGTGAAAAACACCATATATCTCCAGTAATATATGGAGGTTGTGGTCGCTGAAAGGCCATTATGAGATTGGTCTTGGCTGGACTGATGGGTTTTAGCTCATCAGCCCACTAATGATTTTTAAATGTGAGTATTATTACTGTTTAAATAAGGTTTTTTATATATTATGAAGGATGTGGGATTGAGTGAAGATTATGGGTGCATCAATCACAGGAACAAGTGCACAGTTAACTTAACCAACTAACCAATTTCTACTCTTGCTGTATCACTGTTAGGATTACATGTGACCGGGTGAAGGACTTATAAATTTGGGTGTGGTTTTTCTGGCATTCATGCATGACAAAGTCAGCCAGGCACATGACCCTGGCCAAAGCTCCTCCATAGCGTCAATTAATGTGGTAACCACCCTGACTCAGACTGAGCACTGTCCGACCAGCAGAGGGTAGCGTAAGCCCAGCAGTGTCTATTCAACGTATTCAACGGGCTTTCTCACACTACCTGAGATCCATCTGTAATCTGTTGCCCAAATGCTTGTTGCTCAAATCAAAACTTAAGGAAATCTTGAGGGTGATTAACTCCTGATTAAAGAAGTTGCAGAAGACATGAACACAGTTATTGAAGCTTGATCAAGCAGAAGCAATACAAGTGAATCACAGCGTACTGCCACCCACTTCTGAAGCATACTTCCTGCTGGGGAGTATTTAAATCCAAATGTGTCCCAATAGGGGTTTTTCACCTGGCTATGCATGTGGAAAGAGTCTGTTGGGTATTGTATCCTAAAGAAGAAACTATGCTTACCTAAGTCACTTTTGTATGTCACTCAGGTCACATTCAATGCATTCTACATCAGCCTGTTGAGTCTGGGGCAAAATGCGGCCTATCTCCAATGACCTTGGTCTACTGGAGATTATTGCTCTAAAAAAGACAGGCCATGACCTTCTGCTTTTAGGCTTGCAAGTGACCCAAACCTGTCTTGGGGAAGCCCATGTCATGTTACCTTAAACCTAAAGAAGGAAAATTCCTTCACAGAGACTAGCAGCATAATTTTCAAATCTGGATTTAACAACCTCATTGAGCTGGCAAAAGTTCCCCCAGGATGTTTTTTGTGTTATCTAATGTTTCTCTTTTATGGTTGCTGTAATATGCCACCTTTTCAAAAGGGAAATATTGATATTCTTTTTGTTCTAGTTTTTGTTTTTAACATTTTAGTATTACTCTGGAAATTAAAAAGGAAACACTTAAGACTGAAAGCACTGTGGTCACATTGGTTAATTCATTCACTATAAACACCAAGCACATACATGCAAATTACAAATAGAAAGCAACAGTGAAAGTCAGCGTGGCCTTCCACTATTTTTTTTCAAAAACATTAAATTCAGACCATGGGAATGCACACTGAACATTTTCCAAGCTTACCTGTGAGGAAGAGCAGAAAGAGGAAACAAGTAAGCACCATGACTGCAACTCCTGTGAGAATCCAAAGTCAGTGAGAGGTCTGTACTGTTAATGTGTATGCCTGTCCTCTCTGTGTTGTCTGGAAATGTCACCAAATCTGTAGTGGTAATAATACCACTGCCTCATACTGGAAAAGGGACGGGCAAACTGAATGACTGACCCTTTTATGTTTTTGGTAATCTCATTAGTCTGACAGCCATCCGAAGAGACGGTGGTCACTCCACAGCGGTCACCAAAGCATCTTTTAGCGGTCTTTTAGGGGAGGAACAGGAGCTGTGAAAGCCCAAAGTGAACTGTAATGACTTTTTGGTGGTACAAGTAAGTACAGTAAATGCAGCTAATAAACATTTTGTACACAAACCTTCCAGGCGAGAAATTCAATGAGGAATGGAGTCAGCTTCTCCTGTCTAGGATTGCTGTTATTAAAGATGGGGTAAGCGATTCTAATCCAATACATGTCTTTTTGTCAAATTCAGCAAATACTGTATGTCCTCAACATCAGCAGTGTTTGTACACAGCCCTGGCTCTGCCAAAAAACACTATTTAATCTGATCCAGCCACGAATTTATGTATCAGGTAACATTAAATTACTTGTCCCCGACGGCTTTCTTTTAGTTTGCCATGGCATGGCCGTCTCATCCTCTCTGCATGTTAGCTTTGCAGCAGCAGCTGGAGCGTAAGTATGCTAACCCACAGCTTAGCTATGGCAACAACAAGTTAGTTACTTTACTTGCAGTGTTGTTGGTTGCACTATTTCGAATTGCTTAAGCCACTGACTTTGGTATAAATTAAGTTATACCAGGGCTCTCAGGTTTTACCAAAAGTTTGGAGTGAGATGACGCGTGTTAGAGGAGGAGCCACTCAAATAGGCTATTTGCAGCAGCGGCCCCTCGGCCCCAGTCAACTGTCTCAAGTTTTTACTAACAGTTAAATTTGACCTATAGTTTATAATTGACCCGAACAAAGAGAAATTATAAAAACAGGTAAATCTGATAAAAGACTATTGATACTTTTATTTCAAAAATACAAATGTAGCCTATCAAAAATAAAAAGAGATTTGGCCCCAATTACTAGTTACTTAAAAAAATAGGCTTTTAGAGAGTTTAAATATGATGTTTTTATATAATTTTAATTACTTAACAGCTTATACAAGTCCAGCTGCTAGTACTACATCAGTTATTATCAGCTATTTGACAGAAACTGAATTGGGCTCTCTCACTATTTTCAGAATTTCTTTTACAATCGATTAATAGAGAAAATAATCAGCTGATTAATACTAAAAATAATCATTAACAGCAGTCTGATTAAAAAAATTGTTCAACAACAACCAACTACATTAATGCATGAGGAATAATAATCTAATAATATGATATAAAGGCTAATAGTATAACAGTCATATGGAACATTTTCTTTCTGCTTTGAGTAGGCTACTTTTATTTTTAATAGACTTCTTCTACATTTTCCTGCTTTTAGCCTAATAACATACTTTTACTTAACTTTTTCAATGCAGTACTTGAGTATTTTTACAGCGAGGTAGGCCTATTAGCACTTTAATTAAAAGATAAAAAAGAAACAAGGATCTGAATATGCCTAAGTAACTTTGTTCAACACTGGGTGAAAAAGCCAAAGCTTCTGGTTGTAAGAGGTTGGAGAGTTTTTGTCTGTATCAGTCATCATTTAGCATGAATTTGGCTACAGGATACTCCACAACATCAGCTGCTCTCACTATCTTTGATCACAGGCAAGTGACACAGCCCTGGTTATACTAATTAAACTCACACCACTCCAACAGACATTGGATAATAAAATATTGAAATTAGAGAGTACTCATATATTTTTGTACAGTATCTCACAAAAGTGAGTACACCCCTCACATTTTTGTAAATAGGCCTATTTGATTATATCTTTTCAAATGACACTTTGCTACAATGTAAATTAGTGAGTGTACAACAATGTACATTTGCTTTCCCCTCAAAATAACACATCACACAGCCATTAATGTCTAAACTGCTGGCAACAAAAGTGAGTACACCCCTAAGTGAAAAAGTGAAAATTGGGCCCAATTAGCCATTTTCCCTCCCCAGCGTCATGTGACTCATTAGGGTTACAAGGTCTCAGATGTGAATGGGGAGCAGGTGTGTTATATTTGGTGTTCGCTGGTCACTGGAAGTTCAACATGGCACCTCATGGCAAAGAATTCTCTGAGGATTTGAAAAAAAGAACGGCTGACCCTGAAACAGCTGCAGCATGGTAGCCAAGACCAAGCAGTTCAACAGGGCAGGTTCCACTGAGAACAAGCCTCGCAATGGTTGACAAAAGAAGTTGAGTTCACATGCTCAGCGTCATAAAGGTTGTCTTTAGGAAATAGTGCTACCAGCATTGCTGCAGATGTTGAAGCAGTGGGGGGTCAGCCTGTCAGTGCTCAGACTATACGCAGCACACGTCAAATTGGTCTGCATGGCTGTCATCCCAGAAGGAAGCCTCTTCTAAAGATGACGCACAAGAAAACCTGCAAACAGTTTGCTGAAGACAAGCAAACTAAGGACATGGATTACTGGAACCATGTCCTGTGGCCTGATGAGAGTGTGTCTTACTTACAGTCAAGCATGGTGGTGGGAGTGTCTGGTCTGGGGCTGCATGAGTGCTGCCGGCACTGGGGAGCTACAGTTCATTGAGGAAACCATCAATGCCAACATGTACTGTGACATACTGAAGCAGAGCATAATCCCCTCCCTTCAGAGACTGGGCTGCAGGGCAATATTCCAACATGGTAACGACCCCAAACACACCTCCAAGACGACCACTGCCTTGCTAAAGAAGCTGAGGGTAAAGGTGATGGACTGGCCAAGCATGTCTCCAGACCTAAACCCTATTGAGCATCTGTGGGGCATCCTCAAATGGAAGGTGGAAGAGCGCAAGGTCTCTAACATCCACCAGCTCTGTGATGTCGTTATGGAAGAGTGGAAGAGGACTCCAGTGGCAACCTGTGAAGCTCTGGTGAACTCCATGCACAAGAGGGTTAAGACAGTGCTGGAAAATAATGGTTTCCACCCAAAATATTGACTCTTGTGAAGAAGTTTTGGAGACTGATGAAGACTTAACATAGCGTGGTTTATTGAGCCCAGCCAATGAGATATAGTGCCAGCATACAACATGTGGACACGTCAAATACCAACACCAAATCTGAAGCATTACATCTTTTGGTCCCTTTCTTTCCCCTAGTGCCTGTAGGTTTCCCTATTAGGTCATCTTTAGCTTCCCTTAACCTAGAACAACTAATCTATCTGATGTTTAGACTCCAATGCTGCATCATATTGGAATCTATTACTAATCTGTGGAGCCAGTGAGTTCTTGTAAACATTCTTGTAAGACTCAACCTTGTAAGATTGCCAGAGAACAACGATATATGCTAGCCTGCTGCCTGAGCTACTGTCTCTACCGTACCAGTCTTACCGTCATCTCCCTAACAACGACAGTTACATGTGAGAAATAACTAGAGCTGGAAGGTCAGTGAACACTTGTAGGGTCAGCTAATGACTCTAAACTAGACCTGTCTTACCTTTCACTGTTACATCAATTAAGACACCTAAGAACATTTTTTAACATGAAGGAGGAAACAATGTTGATTGAGGCTCACAGTATGTCAGTTCCACGTGGCTCCTGAAATCTTTTAATTCAACCACGCCAAGGTAAATACAGTTTTCCATTTTACAGCACCTTTAAAGAAGCTACACTTTGATTTTAATATGTTTTATGTTTAAAATGAACTCACTAAACATGGTGCATATTACATATCAAAGGCTAATAATAATGTATAATACAGACTGGTGTCATAAGCTAATACAGAATATGTGTTTGACATAGACGTAGCAGTGTGTAGAACATGCAAACAACACTGCTGAGGGACTACATTTATCGAAACAGTTAATAACACATTTTTATCAGTTGGTTAAAACCCGGTGTAGAAATTTCTCAAGGCATGAGTACCATCAGGGCTGGACTGGTAACTTGACACACCGGGCAAAGGAGTAAAAGAGCTGTGGTGGCCAATGCCAGGCAGAGGAGGAGGCATGTGTTAGCTAAACAGAGGGATAAAGTGACAGGGCCGAGTGACAGAGAGAGCAGGAGGAGAGTGGAGGTGAAGCAGTAAGCATGAAATAGCTCAACCTGTAGGGAGGGTGGGGACACTGGGGACGCAGGGGACATGTAGCCACCACTTTCTGAAAGCATTTGTTAAAAATGTTCTGAAAAATGGCTTGCACCAAGAAATGTTGATTAACAAATAAAAATGCCATGAGAAAGGTTTATTTGCAGAATAATAAACCATCAGTGCAATGTAAATATAGAAAAAACCTTGCGTTGTAAAAGTAACTTAAAAATAATAAGCTACTGATTACTGCATTATATTTTATTATATTTTTATATTGTGAATTGTCACCGGCCACCTGAATTTTGTGCTTCCCTTTATAAAAATAAACACTTTTTTTTTTACCATACCAGAATGCAGGAAATGAAGTGTTTAATGCTAAAAATCTTGCAGGGGTGGACCCCCAGACCCCCCTATCAAACATTTCATCTATAAATATTTTTTGAAATAGCAGGCCTATTAAATACATATTCTTGTCTTGTAGTTATGGACAACAATGTTGTGCAAATTTTACATCTCAGTGTTTCATCACACCCCAAACCTGAACCCCTAAATGGATCAATGGTGTATTTGTGAGTGGGTGTCCGACATTTTGGTGGGCCGCCTCGGCCAAAAATGCCAGTGCCAAGTTTTTGTCCCAGTCCAGCCCCGCATCAGAACAATTTGTTAGAATAGGAGACTTGACTCTCAAAGGTCCACTACAACCTGCAAGGCAAGAGTCACATGACTGAAGACATCAGTAGGCTTTTCTTTGTAAGAAAAATTTACAACACATGTAATTCAATAATCCATACCAGATCAAATGTATCCATTGTATGATATTTACACTGTTAGGATTAAGCCAGATTTTTGCTCCCGACTAATATTACAATCAGGCCGACTTTCTGCCAGATCAGATGTTGTTAAACGTGCAGTTTGAGGGGGGTCACAACACCTGATTAATTGTCCATCAACACTGTCAGAAAATCATTTATTTGCAGGTCAAAATTTTGGGTCAGCTGTTATACCAATTTGGTTTGCTTAAAAAAGATCAGCTATAAACTTAAGTGAACTGAAAAACTGATCTTGACTGAGACTGCGCTGTGCTATAAAACGAGGGTCACGATATGGTAACCCTAGTGCTATAAGCACAGGCGGAGCCCTCTACTGGACTCTAGGGTACTACCTCCTCCAATCACATGCACGCACTTGCCCACTGAAATTTTATCGTGCATGTAGCTGACCAATAGGACGTCGCTACCGATACGTAGCGGAGCCCGTGTGAGATAGAACTTTCTGTTCACAGTGGAATAGCACAAAGTAATGCTGACTTAGAATGACATTAACAACAATAGTAATCATTTGATTGCAGAGGTTTTGTAATCAGCACAGTAAACTGCAGCATAAGTTGCTGTCAGTCTTCAAAAACAAATTTCCCTGTAGTTCCATGTAGTTGGTTCATAGCAACTGTGAACCCTCAATGGCATACATAAAGCAACATGGGGTAGATTTTTTTCTGCAACTACAGGGGTGAACACAGACAACAAATGTGTTAAGGTCCATGTTAAATGGAACAATGACTTCAATCAATCAACTGTAGCACTACTGATCATCTGCCTTGTACCACTTTAAAAAGATATAAGCAAAAAACAGACCGGCCACAGTGACATAGACAATGAAGAAAACTTTGTTGATTCTTTTAGCCACTCTTGTCCAGTAGCCGGGCTTTTGTTCTTCCTTCCTGCTGTTGAGGAGCACTGTCAGTGTTTTCAACACCTCCCTCAGGTCATCTGAGACCTTTTCAGAGTCATGGGACTCCTCTGTCAATTTGCTGCTGCTACCCTGCAGAGATAGTAAACTGGTAATTAATGAGATCATGGAACACAAGATTGCATGCTGCTATATTTAACACTTTAGTTTTTGTGTTTATAATATTGGGAATAAAATGGTTGGTCCAACCAAATTACAAACAAACATATTATCTCACTTACTATTATGGTATCTGATGTCATGCAAATTGTTTTTGGGTTGGTTTTAAGATAAGCCCAGCCCTGCCCTAGCCCGACAACGTCTGCAATTTTTCAGTGTGAGCCTGACCCGAGACCGACATCAATATCAAGCTCTCTCTGATGCACAGTCTCTGATGCGCGGTCTCTCAGATATACGCACACACACACGCTCCAACTTCTCCCTGCTCTGCTTGGTCAACTGTCCCTACATGCCTATTGCTCAGGCTTTGTAGAATATTGGCACCGTATGACGTGTATTTGATACTTTTTTATACAAGTAATATTCTGTGTGAAATAAATAAGCTGTTTCATAGTAGCCTATTTCAGTTTTGTGCAAGAGGAATTAAGGGCCCGCTTCACATTTGGTCTGAAAGCACCATTAACCCCAGTTGCTCCAGAGGTGTGTGACCTCTGGCATAAATAGCAATTGTAAGTCATTAACTGTTACCACAAATACCAAAAATTGGAATGCCTAACATTAACTGTTGTTGTATTAATTACTGTGAATTAAGTTTGAATTTGTCGTTCCATCATATTTTAACAATTAATTGGTTTCTGTTCTATGAGTATAGGCTTCGCCCTCTAAGAGCTGTCGCTATTGGGTTCATCCCGCACATGCGTAGTCCAGAAGATTTCTTTTGCGCCCATGTGCCGTGCACGGGACTCTCTCAGGTCCGCAAATAAGGTATATATTACCGGCGAGACAAGAGATCTGCTCCCCTTTTTTCTTCACCGCTGCATAGCAGTCACTTCAGAGAGCAGAGTAGCATCTAAAGAGCAATTTCTCCTACTAAAGAGCTTTTCCTATGGCTACTCACCGTTCTACCGTTGAGGTCCGCCGCTCGGAAGGAGTCCGCCTCTGCCCGTCCTGCCACGCCGGCTACATCATGGGGTTTGATCTCCACGCCCGCTGCGAGACCTGCCTCGGTCCTCAGCACGCTGGCCTGGCTCTGAATCCCCGGGCCTCGTGCCCCTACTGCGCACAGCTGCCCTTGGAGGAGAAGCGACGGCGGGTCGACGCCTTCGCGGCCCTGCAGGAGGAGGAGGATGACTATGCTAGCTGGGCTAAGCCAGTTAGCTTCACGGCGGACTTGCAGGGCTTGAGTCCTCTGACCAAGCGGCCCAAACACCCCCGATGGGCTTCAGTATAATATCACTTTGAAGGAAAGGTGCGCATTGTTTCATTTGTCCCTACTGTGCGGGACGGATGAAACACAACGACATACATTTAAATAGTTTTTTTAAAACTTTAGGATGTGTTAAAGTACTAACTAATGTTTTATGTGATCACGACCATGGCACATGGAACAATAAACCCAACTCGTCATTCAAAAAAAAAAGATCGCTTGAGTGAATTTACTTTCCGTGATTGAAAACAGCTTCTTTCGTATAACTCCGTGAAAGTGTGGTGTATCCACCTGATTTTTCCCTGTTCTGTTAAGTACTGTGTTCTGTATGTGCTGAGGTAGTTTGGCATATCAGACTTGTATGGGCTCCAAGAAAATCGCTGAGTTTCAATCGTCCCGGCTCTCCCCTACTTTGCGCTTTAGCTAATTATGTTAATTGTCCAACATATGCAAGTTAGTATCAAGATGTTTCTCAATGCTGGGGAACCATACTATACATTTCTAGCATAAAACATTTACAGATTCACCTTGCTGGCAAGCAATGTTGTATGTCGTCAAGTGTTCAGAAGGAAATCTGAGGTTTTTGCTCACAAGGATTTATTTTCAATACTTTCACCTCATTATTTCCTCATTAAGTCTCCTTTAATTTGGGTGAACCAACCACTTAAAGGGAAAACCTTTGTGTGCTAACCTCTTTGGCCACTGACAGCAGTTCAGATTGAGATTTAACAGTAGACACGTCACAGGCAGACCCACTTTGAGTCCATTTCTTGTCTGAAAGGATATGTTTCACACAAAGATGGTTGTATATTCAAAATAATATAATTAACCAGTGTGTTAAGTTGTAAATGTGTCAGTGAGTACTCAAATCCTAAAGGCGTACAACTTAATATTATTTTACTTTCTATAAAGATCAGTAATAACGGTAGTAAACTGAAAAACAAGTAGAAATCTATGCTTAATCTCACCTCTCAAACAGCTGTGTAAGTTGACACTGCCATGTTTGTCCCCACAGTCCTCACTCAGGCTTTGGTCTTTGTTTGCCTCATTGTCTTGGGATGCAGAGTCTTTGTCCATCAGATGCATCACCAAAATCGTCTCCAGGAGGCTGAGCATCATCAATGCAAAACTCCCAATACAGTAAGTCACTAAAGGGAGGAGGCAGCATCATTAATGGACAAATAACACTGAGTCAGCATGTGCTCTGTACTCTGAGCTCCTTTACCTATAAGTGGAATCTTGTCTGACGTGGCAGGCAGAATTTCATTCAGAATAAGTTGTAACACAGTGACAGCAAGCAGCACAGTGACCTTGAAGCTGAGCTTCTCGCCCCCTCTGTCTGAGATCAGGAAGGAGGCCAAGTCCAGACACAAGAAGAACAGGACAGGAAGCATGAAGTTGACAATGTGCAGGAGAGACCGCCTCTTCATGGTGATCTGTGAAATAATTTTTAAGGGTCAGGTGGTTAATCTGCCTACTCCTATACTTTTCAGCTTGCAGTATGTTTCCCTGCCCGTCTCATTTGTTCTTTAGGTTATTGCAAGGGATTTACTTAATGTACATTACCTTCACAGTAACAAGCAGCAGACAGACACATCTAGCAACTAGGTGGCAAACATAGTGAAGCATTTAGCAGCAGCCAGATATTTTTCTAAGTAGCTTGTAGAGACCAAAAACAGAAATAGTGCACAAGGAGCAAATCAAAATGGCAAAAATTGTCTTTTACATGTCAGAGTTGATCATGTTAGTTAATTTTGTAAATGTTTAAAGGGGACCTATCATGCTTTTCCATTCCATTTTGTGGCATATTTACAATGTTAAAATGACAGGTGTCAAACTTCAAATAATGAGGTAAAGGTATTTAAAAGAAATCCCTGTTCTGAACACCAGATTTCTATATATGGTCATTAGCTCCAAGCGCAGAATGGCATCCTCCTGCCAACTTGGTAAACACAGAAGACAATGGCCAATCAGAAGACAGCATCTACAGCATGTTTCAGACAGAGGCTATAATTGGTCATCTGCAGCTAACACTGCCTCTTTTATGTGAACACGCTCACAGCTGGATTGGGAAACCCTGGGTTGAGTTAACGAGTTGATAACCAGCTTTGTGGCATCACTTATTCTGACCGCGATTGTTAGGGTTAGGTAAGCCAGATAACTAAAAGATATCCTGGTGTGTTGAACTCACATTGTGGTACAGGCCATTGGTCAGAAAGGCCACCTCCATCTTGGCCAACCCATCCTACCCTGTACCAGGAATTCCACCTTCCACCCTCTGGGTGGAGCTTTGTGGTCAGGAGAGATGGAAAATAGTTTCAAGCTCTGGATGTTTGTATTGAGAAATACTTACAGTGTAAACAATCATGCTTTGTTCAATGCCAAGAGTGCTGACATTTTTGTTGGTGATGCTCATGTTGATGAACAGCCACTCGTACTGGGTCCGCATCAACTTGTGTGACCACCTTAGGACTTCTGAAGGGCCTAAAAGTTCATGAAGCTGTATTTCCTCGACTGTGTTGGGAGATAAAAGTAAAACTGAGGTTTCTTCAGCAGCTCAACAAAGGAATGTATAAATATGGCATCTTCTGGTGTGTGCTCATGTGACAACAGTTAAGACATTACAACAAGACATACAAGAACATAACAGATTACAGGCTCACCAGAGTGCATGACAGACTTGAAAGATAGGTCACAGCTCTGAATGTCAAACGGGAATTTGTAAACTTGCATCTTGCAAGTGCTAACCAACACCATATCATTCAGACGTCTGACCGTACCGGAATAAAAAACTCTGAGAAAAGGACTCGGAGGAGCCTTATCCATCTCTGTCCTGTATGAGAAATCACACACAATGACAAAAGCTTTATGTTTCAAATTAAATTATACCTTAAAACAAATCTACAGCATGACGCAAATTATTATTTTAAGTCTTAAACTTATTTTTCTATAAATATAGAAAATGTTATCTGCCTGTACTAACATTTTTGTAAATGTTTTATTCATACTGAATTACTGTACTTATTGGGTACATGTATGGTGGCCCAGAGGTGTCATACAAAAGCCACAACACAAATACATAAGCCACAAGTCAGTGTTTGTTTTGTCCGTTCAGGGCTACTATGGAAAAATGGCAGTGACATGACAGACTCCATGGGAAAGGACATGCTCCCTATGTAGATATAAAGGGTTCATTAAAGTGTAACACAGAGAAGTTGAGTTTGCCTTGCACTGGATTAGGTGTAAAGACAACTACAATCACCTAAATTTACATATTTGTAATACATATTTTAAATAAACACTGCATTGAAAATGTGATTGCATTAATATTTGGTATCCAAATGCTTGAGTTTTTGTGCCATTTCTAAACAGTAATATGAGACTATATCACCAGTTACTGTTGTGAGTCTGCAGATTTGTGACATGCAAATACAGTACATTAAAACTTACATCTCTTCAATAGTTATATCTGGCATCCACAATGCTTCAGTAGGAACTGATAAATAATAAAGTCCACAAAAATGTTCTGGATGCCACTTAATGTGTTCATTTTCCCAAGCCTACACGGGTAAACAAGGGAGGGAGGAGATAAAGAATGAAAGAGAGAAAGAGAGAATAGATGCAATTTAGAGAGAAAAAAAAAAAGGAGTTTCCACTAAAGATAGGCAGGTGAGAATGATCAAAAAGATCTGTCCATATAAGAGAGAACTCACCATATAAATCCAAACATAAGGAATGAAAGTCTGGTCAAACACAGTATGTGTGAAAATCTTTTCCACAGCACAACTATCATCATAAGCTGACCATACACACAGCAAAACTGATAAAACAAAGCGCTGTGCTGGTTTTTAATATAAAAAACAGTTCACACAAATCTGTCTTCAACACAACGCAAGTTTAGTTAATACACATCAAATCTAAGCACAAAACCCCAAAAGGCCACACAGTGCTCCAAATTTGTTAATTAGGGATCCAAGCCCGAGACGGGCATGGGAACCCTATTGTAATCCTAAAGATTTTTATTATTCTTCCGCCGCTTAAAGTGATACTGCAGCCTAGACGGCAAGTGCTACAGATGCCAAACTCATAGGGTAGGTCCAAACCCACGCGAGTACCTCATGTGCAACAATTCACACACTTCTACCTCTAGACGGCGCTATAAGCAAGATAATTGCGTTTGGGCTTCGAACTCCTGCATACAAAGGCGCATTTCAAAAACCTTATATCCACATGTGTTCAGGGGATTGAGCTGAATCTCCCGCTATAGGCCACGCCCACTTCCACCGCCTAGATTTTATTTTATTTTTTTCCACAAAAACTGAAAAACCTATTTTAATCAACTCCTCACCAGCAGTAAGTCCAATCAGCACCAAAATCTGGACCAAGCTGATAAAAGTTTGTTGAGGAAATTTTGATCTGCGAAATTATTTCAGAATAATAAGCTAAGAAATGTTTGCAAAAAACTCTAAAAACAGGAAATAACATTACTCTTTTACTCATAGTTCTGTTTTTTGCAGGCAAAATGTTTCTGTGTTTGTGAATTATTAAACAAACAAAACCATCTTAATTTTGGGTTAAAATTGAATTAAAATTGTTTGTAATGGGTATTGTGATGGCCACAGCCGTGGCCTCACAACCAGATGAAGAGCACTAACCTCATGAGTTTATGCTGTGTTCTTTAGGATTAGTTTATATACCTTCTTCATACACATTAGATATTTGTTGCAAATATTTATTTGGTTACAAATAAACTTACAGGACACTTAGTTCATTTCACATTCACAACATTATTTAGTTGACTATACAGAAGCATCTTTTTGGAGTGCGCACCATTAGTTACTTTTGGATTGTCATTTTGTTATAATTTTGTTTCTGAGTTTACCAGTGTTGGATGCCACACCCAGGAGAGATCCAGGAAGTCTGCTAAAGTGTTGGTGCTTGGAGCAGGAGTAGCTTTATAGGGGAGGTGGCCTAATTGGACACTACCACTGCTTGCTATGTCTGGGGGGTGGTTTTATTCTCTCCTTAAATATTTTGGGGTTTAGATTTATATTATATTTGAGTATTTTGAGTAAAGGTTAATTAAATGTTCATTTCTTTTAGAATAAGTTTTTAGGTAGGTTTTGTAGTTATGTAGTAGCGTTGTGGTTGTTAGTCTTTCCATGTGTGTCAAAACTGGTCTGATCAGCCAATATAAGTCCCCTTTGTTTCTTGTATAGGAGGTCAGTTGTATTTTTGAGTCTCTTATGTTCAGAGCTTTAGTTACCGTTTGTTTATTTGACCTCTTTTATGGGCCCGAAACTTTATCTTTTATTGTAATGATTTTTTGGTAAATAAAAACCCTTCTTTGAATTTCCCTCTTGACTCCTCATGCCTAACTGCCTGGTCCCTCACAGGTATAAAATTACTGATTTTCTTTTAGTATTGCATTATATTATTGCGTTACAGCAAAAAGCAATATGTTGCTGTAATTGCGTTACTTTTGTAAAGCGTTACTCCGAACACTGAGTAACACCATGGAAGAGGAGCATACTAACAAAACCTAACTGAGAATACATGATAAACATTAACACACACTAGGAAGAGTTTAAAAAGAATACAACAGGAAAAACGCCAAAACCATGACAGTTCTGGGAGATGACCCGGAGGTCTACACGTCAGGCTGAGCAGGTCAGGAGGGCAGCTTGGGGGTTTAGCCAGCAGAGCAAGTCAGGGGGTTGACCAGGGAGCCAAGAGCAAGGGCAGAAACCTGCAGGAGGCCAGCGATGAGGGCTGGACCACTATGGATGCCTCTCTGTGTCACTGTTGGCTCCTTTCCACATGGCTTTGAGCTCCACCAGGTCTTAAACTAAATCCACCAGTTCACACTAACAGGATATGAGAGTATCAAGTGTAAGTAAAGCAATTTACTTCATTATCTTCTCAAAACATGAGAGCTGTAGAACAAGCTGTAGGCTATGTAAAGTTGATCAAAAATGAAATCAAATAGTGTTTTACTTTACTGACTGAGATAATTCTGTTGATGCTACATGTGTTTTGTTTTTACAGTAATTAAACAAAAATCTACTATGATAGTAGCAGAAATAATTACCTGGAGATGATAAAAATAATGCAGAACAATCACCAACACTAACAGGCACTAATAATTGTGTATCAACCAACCAGACTGCGACAGCAAGTCATGACAAAGTCTGTAGGCAGAACAAACAGGCTAACAAGCACTCAATATAGTGCTGAATCAACTTGTTCTCACTCCCAAGTCATCACATATGAATGCATGGTCAAGACCCGTCAGCGTCAGTTTGAAACGCACTGGGGATCCCCATAGTGTCAAAGGTCAATGCAGTAGGGAACGGCCTGTATCTTCAGTTTTGGACGGTAACTTAGGTATATGATATTTAATAGAAAAGACTGAGTAAAGAGGCAGTTGCAGTGGATGGAGGGCCAGAACCTGGGCTTTCAATCAGGAGACCGGTGTGAGCATGTGTTGGCTGAATGGTACATCTGGTTTGGTATTCTTTTGACATACACATTGCAATTTGTATCATTATTTAGGATTGTAAAGCATCCATTTATATCGCTGGCAGTTAGTTTGGTTACATATAAAAAATGATTAGGCAGAAGAAGTTGAGAGCTTTTGAGTGCTAGTATATGGCTATTTCCTAGAGACAGAAAGTGTCAGGTTTGGCTGATGCAGATGCAGGTAAAGTGAGAGTGTTGACGCAAATGCAGACACCGACAAAACATGCAGGATGCAGTTCTTGTGATTTATAAAAAAAAATAACTAACTATACAGGCTTGCATTGAAGCACGACAGATGTCCAACAAAAGCAGAATCCAAAAGTAGTAATTCCAGAAACAGCACAGAGTAATTCAAAACACAGAGGCAGGACAGAACATTCAACATTCGGCGAGGACAAAAAGGACTGAACAGAAATGAGCACATTAAATACAGGGGTAAATGAGCAGGGAGAAAGTGAACAGGTGAATCAGATCAGGAATGATCAAACAACAGGAAACAAAGCTAAACATGTAATCCAGACAGCAATAACTTCAGAGTAAAACAGGCAATAGAGCTGGCGACAATACACGAGGACAAATGTAACAAAATACAACAGAGAGCATGGAACAGGAGCATGCAAACAAAATGTAGTGAACAACGGTGTGGATTTGTGCATTTTATATTGAATAAATTTGGAGCTACTCCAAATTCCTCTATCCTCTCCCAGAGAAGAAGGGGGGGTGAAAGTTGCTTTCTCTAAGTGCTATCCCTGACCATAAAACTGGCACCCTTTTGATTCCGAAGCTGATAACGCGGGGCCTGACTGTTAAACTGACAAAGGGACACGAACCAGCGATTAGAATTTCCCTGAACAGCCTATCAAAACTGCCCCCCCCCCCCCCCCCCACACACACACACACATGTAACAGTGGCAACTGACCTTGCTCTGTGTTTTATTACCCCATCAAAGGGATACTCCTTGTCTCACCTAAGTGTGACATAATCCAGGACAGCCGAACTTTAAATAACCAAAGACTGCAGTCTCCAAAGACTCAAAGCTAGTTACCTGATACTTTGCCTCTATTTGAGTAGTTATGTTAACATGTTGTTACTATCTGTTGTTGATATTAGTGCTGAAAAGAATCTAAATAAGTTACTTTTACAGTGTTTTTTATTTTCAGCAAGACACTCCCTCATCTAATGTAATCAATGCTTGTTCATAATACTTTCTTACAAAATTCCTTTAGAAATGATGATAAAGAAATGTTTTACTATACTCTTAACCGCCAGCTTGAATTTAAGGATGAATCAACAATAATTCCCCGGTTCCTAAGGAGAGATGATCTTGGATTAATCTAAGCTTTCCTCATGTAACCTGAGCTCCCCCAAGTGGACAAAATAAGTCTTATATACCCTCGTTGGAAATGCCGTTAAATGTATAAATCCTGACCAATAATGTGACAATTGTTTCCTGTTACCAAATGCTTAACTTAGAACAGTACAACCGTTTGACCATTGAGGTTCGATTGTGGAAAATATTTGATTATAATACGCGCAAATAGATTTCTTTTCTTTTAGACATTAAGTTTAGAAAGGCAGTCCCTCGGGAAACCTGAAACGCCCTCTGGGGAACCACGCCCCAGGCAACAAAAGAGCGACACGCAACGTCGTTCACTCTACTCTCTTCTCTCTCTCCCTCTCGGCTATCTGCCCTCTGGACGCTTCGGCACGCGTCCGGCGTGCCTTGCCAGGCAACGGCCTAAGAGTTCGGCCAGCCGTTTGTTCGTTTGAAGCTACACACGCGAAGTGCCGCGACATCGATCTGCCACTCAGTTTGTTTTATTTTCTTTCTTTCTTTTGTTTTGTTAAAGTTATCAGTCCGTTACTGGACTAATTCAGGAACGACCAAGTTCCATTTTTAAGCTTTTTCATCGAGCCAACTTCACCGAGGTCAGACCAAGCCATGTGGTCTCGCCAGCGGCAACGAAGGAAACCTGAAAACAGCCGAATTGCCAGATGGAGGACGGCGTTTTCTTCAGTCAGACACAGAGAACCCCGGAGACTCCCTAGCAAAAAGCCAGGATCGGGCAGCTAGCGTGGGACCCGTGCAACAGGCCAAAGCAGGCCGTCGACAAGCCGTAAGACCTAACCAACATTCTGTGGTCAGAGATTTCCTTTTAACTCCTAAACTCATAGCGTTAGCTTACTTTCATTAGTTCCCCTCTGCCGTATGAGTCAAATGCTTCCCACAATTGCACCTCCAGGCTCATTGTGCCGCCATTGTTTATTTACCCGTTTATATCACATTAGTTAGAGAATAAATTCACTGTAATATAATCAAGAACTGTGTGTGTTGCCTATTTCTACGTCCCTGCCAAGAGAATTGACCCTTTAGATATGAGACTGATTGATTTAAGATAATTGAGCGATTTTTAACTAACTGATCACTAGTAATACTTGCATAATTATTAAAAAAAAATAAAAATTACTGTCCTTTGCAGAGGAAATAATCATTACCATTAAAAAGAAAAAAATGACAGAAAATGTAAAGCTTAATTTAAAACTTACCACATCTAGGATGCTATGCAGCAGCATTTGGAATTGTATGACTGTAGTTGTACTGTAGTGTTTAACAGGCCGGGCCATGTTGTACAGATCATTTTTTTGGTCAGGTTCAGGTGGTTCAAAACATCCTGATAACCACATTTACCCTCAGAGGAATCCCTATTTACTGGAAAAATATCAAGATACATTCAGAGCTTACTCTTGAAAGGAAAAAGAAAACATCAACAACATCAATCTCAAGCTTTTAAACTGGAAATGAAGTGCTTTCTATTAATGTTTGTCTGTACATCAGATTTATGGTATGTGTTCCTAATTACTTATAATTTATTTTAAAAAAATGCATTCATTGGCAGGGATCCACTGCTTCTGAATGTATTTTCTAACCTTTAATAAAACATCTGCTCAAAAATATCTGCAGTAATACCCACAAATTGTGGTCACTAATGATGGCCATTATGAGGTGGGTGTTGGCAGGACTGCCGACTTTTATCCACAATGTGAGCATTTTGCAGTCATTTAAGTCTAAATAGGTTTTCCATTTGAGATCCATCTGTTACAGGTTTTCCAAATGCATGTTGTTCAAATCAAGGACAGCCGTGCAATTTTCTACTCAACCCAGGGCCAAACTGGGATAATGATTTATTCCGGGTATCTTAAGGTCAACCGAGGCCAATCCTCATGCATTTACAAAAGACCATGTATAATTTGAAAAAATACTTTCTTTTTACTGTTTATTACAGTAATATTTCTTGTAGTTTTATTACTACACACAAAAGCTGCTTAAAAAAACATCCAAAATAGTTCAAAACAGAACAGTGTTTTCAATTTCAAGACTTCCATAATTCAGGCTACAGGAATATATATTCATGCATATAATTACTGGGTACTTTTGGTGTGTTTGTTTCCTCTACATACTTTTTTCAGAGCTCTGATTGAAGTTCTGTTGATCATCATGTTGCTCCGGTGGCTCTGTGTAATTGGATGTACTTCTACCTGACAGAAAAGAGGACACATGTCTTTATGTTAAGTATGATTTACTTGCACACATCTTCTTTCCAACACAGAATGATAAAGTGTAAAATGTTTTAGATATTTAAAATATAGAATCATCTTGGGAAGGGTAGTTGTGACATTATCATGTCCTGAGGACAGACTTACTAGTATGTATGTAAGTATGTAAGATGATCAGGTTGAAAGCAGCTGATGGTCTACTTGTGTCACATGTTTGTTTTAACTTTCATTTACCCTGACTCAAGTGTTGTTGAAAACTGTTAGCAACAGTTCTCACAGAAAACTATTTTGAAATCCAATGAATCTTATTATTTGACATTCTAAAACATGTCATTCTAAAAAGAAAATTGGGAAAGAGAACCAATTTATCTTTTATCTCTGGTGGGATTTAGCTATGCAGGTAGTTGTGGTTTTAACTGCTTTTGAGATGTCAATATCCAAAATGTTTGCCTCTACGCTATAACAATGGAGGTGAATGGGATTTTGTTTGTGGAGCCCACAATACTGTAAAATTTCAATAAAAAAACTCAACAGCAATTTTTTCAGGAACAGTGTCCCATCTACTCTGAATTATCCACATACACAGACACAATAAATTTCAACTCTGAAACTCTGACTTAATGTGTGTGTTCTTAATAAAAAAAATTAAAAACACTAGTCTGAGAGAGTCTAGAGAACACAAAGACAGGAACAAGAGAGAGACAAGAAACACAACCTCCACCACAAGTCCAAAGACAAACATGAGTTCAACATGAACCAGGATGGGTCACACAAGCCAGGGTGGAGGTAGTGAGGACTAAACACAAGAACCAGTAGTTGAGCGGGCCGCTGACAGGGGACCAGGAGTAGGTGTCGAGGTAGAGGCCAACTCATGTCCATCCCCCGACAACACTTTAATATCCACTGGGTCCATATTGGTCAGTTTGTACTGTTATGGATGTAGATAATGCAGCCACAGAGAAGGATTCAGACCCAACATGCAGACGTTACAGCGGATTGAGTACAGTGTACAGTGTTTAATTAATAATAATATAACAATAATCTTTATTTGTAGAGCACTTTTCAAAAACAAGTTACAAAGTGCTTTAACAAGTGTAAAGACAATAATACCCAAAAGACAATAATGCAAGAAAACATTGAAAAGACTAAAATACCGGTTTAAGATAAATATAAAATTAGTAAAATAGAATAAAATAAAAGTGGTAAAATAAAGTCAAATAAGATCGGATATCGGAATAAGACAGTATGTTTTAAGAAGTGAGTCAGCTGACCTGATTTCCTCAGGCAGGCTGTTCCAGAGCCTCGGGGCAAACAGAAACTCAATCCAAATCAAAAGTAGTACAGGAAACACAAAAAAACCACTCCCCAAGATACATACACTATTCAAACGGGCAGAGACACTTCACGGGGAAGGAAGCAATACAAAATGATAAGGACGAACGGAACCAAGCAAATTATAAAACATAGGGAGGGAACTGAACACAGATAACACACATTAGGGCAGGTGTAAACAATCAATTAAGGAACACAAAGACAGGAAACAAAGCTGACAGCACACACTAGGAAAGACACAGGAAATAACTAATCTAATCTATAATAGTTTTATTATATGTGAGCATTTTTGCAGTCATTTAAGTCTAAATAGGGTACATCTGGTACACGTCCAAATGCATGTTGTTCAAATCAAAGACAAGAGTGCAATTTTCGGCTCAACTCAACCTAGGGATGGAGTAGAATAATAATTCAGGCTGGGAATCTTAACATCAGCCCAGGCCAATTGTCATGCAGTCACAACAGACCATGTATACTTTGTTGAAGTACTTTTTCTGTTTACTGTTTATACCAGTATTACGCACAAAAACTGCTTTAAAAAACATCCAAAATAGATCAAAACAGAACATTGTCTTCAGTTTCAAGGTTTCCATAATTAAAGCAACAGGAATACATATTCATGCATATAATTACGGAGTACTTCTGGAGTGTTTGTTTCCTCTACATACTTTCTTCAGAGCTCCGATTGAAGTTCTGTTGATCATCAAGAAGCTTTAGTGGCTCTGTGTAATTGGAGGTAATTCCTCCTGACAGAAAATAGTGTACAGGTCTTTTTAAATTTTCAATATGATTTCCCTGCACACACATCTCCTGCTTTCTTACACAGAATGATTAAGTGTTAACACAATTTATTAGTTATTTATAACATAGAATCAACAATGAGGGGTAGTTGTGATATTATGATGTGCGGAGGACGGTCATACTAGTATGTATTATGACCAGTCACGGGTGCTGACAGGTAGAGATCCCATCAGGTTAAAAGCAGTTCTGAAGTTTCCTAGTGTTCACTTTGATTTACCATGACTCAAGCCAATTCAATGGGAGCAGTTGTTGTTAAAACTGTTAGCAAAAGCTCTCAAAAAACAATTCTGATATCGTATGAATCTTATCTCTGGTGAGATTTAGCTCGGCAAATGGTTGTGGTTTGTTTTTTTAATTGTTTTTTTAAAAGGTCCATCTTCACATTTTTTGTCTCTACCCTAAAACAATGGAGGGAATGGCATTTTGTTTGTGGAGCTAAATTGCAATGGCAATTTAAAAAAATCAACGGCAACAATTCCAGGAACAGTGTCCCAGTTACTCTGAATTATCCAAATACCACAATGTGAGCAGTTTTTGGAAAGACATTTTCACAGTATATTTAGTTTAATTATTCAAGCACAAATACTCCATTCACCTTCATTGTATAGGGGTGGCAAAATAAAATTCACACAGACAAACCCAAATATTCTGTGTGGACAGATACCAGTTAAGTTTTACTATAATTGTGTGAACTGAACCAATAATCAACTCTGAAAACCCTGGAATTCAAGTTTGTCAACAGTACACCTTCCACACTGGAAGCTGGTAAATGGTTTATGTTGTTTCTGTGATGATGTTAAAAATAAACAGTGTTTTAATATATTAACAAGCAGTGGTTAATAACCAGGAAATTATAGGTTTATCCATACTGCAGAACTGTTCTCAGGTTACACCTGCATGCATCATACAGAATTATCCCAGCTTACCTGTGAGGGTGAGCAGAAAGAGGAAAACTGCAAGCATCATGACTGTCCTTTCTCTGTTGTCTGGAAATGTTTGTTGCAGCAGTAAAATCACAGCCTTGTACTAAAAGAGGGCTGGGCAAATGTAATGACTGACTTTTTTTTGTCTAATGAAAGAAACAAACTTAATGCAATAAAGCTGCAACAAACTGCCAACGCCCCCGACACTTAGCTGCCTGTTGGCAGAACAATTTTGCTATCAAACCAAAAGCAGTTAACTTCTCACTTCAACTGCTATTGTTGTTTAGTTAGAAGTACAATGTAGGAACTCTGAAAGGAGTTTTATGTCAAGTATACAAACAAGCAAACTACAATTTACATTTATTTACAACAAATGTATAACTGTTCTCAGGTGTGACTGGTTACTGCACCAAGCTTTCCCTTCCATTCCAGGGCACACGTCATTTCGTGCCCTCTTTTGCCAAACATTGTGTTACTTACAATCGCTGCTTTTGATACAGATGTGAAGTGAAAGGAAACACTGTTCTGGAAGCATTTTTACCCATAAAGCGGCAGTCTTTGAAATGATTTAACAGTACTATGAATTTAATACATGGTCAGTAGTGTTAATTATTAACTTGGTGTCTTTTTTGTCCATTTTGGTTTAAAGGGTCCTTCTACATATGACGATACTCATGAGTCTCAGCCACCATTGCTATGGAGAAGAGGCCAGCAAACGGCTTCTTAGGAAATAAGACTAATGTACCTTAAGTTAAATTCTAAAATCAGCATACTAAAATCCACACAATGACAATGTTACCATGCTGATGTGTAACAGGTATAATGTTTAATATGCTCTGCATCTTAGTTTAGCATGTTAGCATGCTAACATTTGCTAATTAGCACTTAACACAAAGTATAGATGAGGTCATTAGGGTTCATTCTCTGGGGACCATGAATGCCAATACTTATTATTTCAGTCTGAACCAAAGTGGCGCGTCAATGGACAGGCATTGTCATAAATAGAGCCACAGGGCTGGAAAAACAGAATGTATCCAAACTTTATCTAGAAATGGATCGTGTATTTGGTCATAAACCAAAATTATTGGATGAATTTTGACCTAATCGTAGCAGTGGAGAAAAAATCAGGGGATCACCAAAGTTATTATAATTCATCCTGAGGGGGACATTAATGTGTCTGATCGTTTATTGATTTATATCTCTGAATATTTGTGTTTGTCTACAAAGCCTAAAATAAGTAGCTTTTGCTTTCCATAAGTGGCACAAGCAACATTCAATGTCTGAGTTTTTTGGTGACTGAATGTTTGTCTCTAAACCTGCTAAGAATTCTTAGCTGAACTTTTTATGTACACAGGCTTTTTACCATATAAATATATATGACATTTTCTAATGCAGTGGTTGATGACCTTTGTACAGATAATTCGGGCAAGAGAATAGCCATTCAAGCCCCAGAAATGCTCCAAGTGCAATTTACCTAATGTTGTTTAGGTGGTTGATGTTCCTACTCCCCCACATGAAAATCAGAATCAGAATCAGTTTTATTGCCAGGTATGTGTACACATACGAGGAATTTGACTCAGGATTGTACATTGCTCACAATGTGCTTACTTATACAATAATAAAATAATAATATAATAATAATAAAATAAAATCGTGTTCTTGTGAGTGCACTGGGAATGCAAATAGCTGTATTGTGCTTTTTCCATGGCAAGAGTGGCTCGTTTCTCAGCCAGAATGTCGTGGAAGTGGGGTGTGGCGTGGAAGCTTGTTGGCCACTGCAGCCAGCTGTGCACCCAGTTGGAATAATTTCTCAAAATATGATACGGTAGCGCCGTCTAATAGCTCAGCTACTTTTATGCAAATTTTAATTTTCAGTGGGCTATTATATGCATGTGATAGTACGAGGTTTTACCTAACGAGCTTTTTGCATTTCTTCACAGTGCTGGAAATGTGCGTACGCCACTTCCCAAGCAAAGGTTGTGATCTATACAAAACTAACTTGACGGGAGAATGTGCGGTCCTCCACGCAAACTCTGAGACATGCGTACGCACATAAACTGGAGAAATGAGAAACGGCAAAATGTTTGTAAAAGATACTATTGTGTAAAATAAATCTAAATATTACCTCTGAGTGGTATAGGCCAATAAAACTTATATAATTTATGAGTGTGGTTTGTGTTCATGTTTAAGTCTGTTTTTGGTTCTGTGTTTCTTTGTGTAGCCTTGTTTATTATTTTATTCATTCACATGTTTAGTATCTGTCTTGTCTCTTATCTTAGTTCTTAGTCCTGCATTTTAGTTCCTTGCCTCAGTTCTTAGTTCTGTGCTTTTGTTCATGTTAGTGTGATTCCTGGTCTGTGTATTTCTGTTTCATTATTTGATCTTGTCTTGTTTAGGATTTTGTAGCTTAGTTTAAACTTATGTTTATCAGCACGTTTTTGAGTCCTTAGTCCTATGTCTCCATGTTTTAGTGTAGTCCTGTCTCCTGTTTGGTCCTTTCTCGGTTCCCTGCCCTGATTTTGCTGTCTTTCCATGTTTTGTGTTTTACTTTGATAGATCTGTCCTGGTGTGTTCCTGTGTGCCTTACTTCCTGTTTTATTTTGTAGTATTCTATTCACAGGTATCCTTGTCTAACTTTGTTCCTGTTGTTGATTACCTGATGTGTTTCAGCTCCCTGCTTGTTTGCCTGTGTATATATTGCCCTCAGTTGTGTTCACTGTTTGTGACGTCCTTGTAGTCTTATGTTGAGTGTTTAGCTGTGCTTTGTTCTCTGTGTTTCCTGGATTTATCTTGCGGATTATTACCTTGTTCTCTGTTTTTGGATTACCCTGTTTCCTTGGACACTCTTTCATTTGGATACGTAGCTTTGTTTGGACTTTTTGCCTGTGCCTTCACGTAAGACTGTTTAGTTTGCTTTAATAAATATTTGTATTGTATTTTAACTGCATGCTCTCGCCTTTTGGTCTGCCTTTGGGTCCACCTCAGCTCTCTGACTGCACTCAGTCATTTACCATGACAGTAGGATGTCACCACAGAATGGACCCAGCAGACTTTAAATTTGAGATGGACATGTTTTTGGATGTGTTACCTGTTAGGAGTTGTGGACTGACTGTCAGTTTGCTCCAAGCATTAAGACCCAGCAAGCTGCTCTCTCCAAGGCTCCTGCCTGTTTCGCTGCCACCTGGCTTTCCTGACGATCAGGCAGACAGACAGACCCGTCCGGGTCGCTATAAAAAGGCATCATATAAGATCATTTGCAGTGAACACAAAAAGAACCATGATTAAGTATAATAAACACAAAGGAGATATTGTTTTTTGCAAAAGAATGCAGTGCAATTTATTCTCATAAATAAGGTGAACAGTTGAACAAATTACATTTAAATTGATGCCGTTATCGATGCTTCAGTCAAGCAATTATGAGTGCATAGTTTCATATACTGTTATCACATCACGTATTAGTTGCCTTATTGAGCCAAACGCTGTGCGCCAGTGTGTGGATGTGATGCGTTGCACAAAATTATAACACTATTTATTAAGTTGATCTTTCAGTGTAACGCTTATTTCACGTAAAACAAGTCATTTTTCTTTTGATTCATCAGCAGCCTCGTTAAGTGAGGAGACTGTTTAAGTAAATGTTCAAACACAAGTGGAATGTATTTGCTTTACTCTCTTTTCAAACGAGGGAATCCAAAGTAGTACCTGGGTCATCCAGTGCATCTTGCATTTATGTGTCCTCCTCCACTTCCGTCACTACTCAGGAGGGATGCCCCTTCCAGCAGATCAGTTATGAAGGGATGGAGCTACTTTAAGATACACTCAGTACAAGCCTAAATAGTTTTTGAGGAGTACCTTGTTGGCTGCTCTGTTTTTAAGTCTAGTTTAAACACAGAAGAATGTGCACACATCCAAACAAACCTGTGGGTAAGTAACATAAAACAAAGAATGACCTTCACAGAGTTATAATGAATCCAACTTGGTGGTATCATTAATTATGACGATGCAAACTCTGAGGTCCTGAGCTGTTCGAATGCACTTGTGGTAAATTGGTGCATCTCTACAGTGTAAGCCTTCTGTGCCCACAACACCTTCTATAAGGCATCAAAAGTATTCAATGTGCAGATAATTCTTTGGTTTTCACAATAGAGTAACTCCCCATTAATGTCACATACATGTCTTAAAGAGATGTCCAAATCCAAATCTATAACATCAGCTTTTAATTTTTTTACTGACAAATGCAAAATGTTAACTTATAATACTATCTTAAGATTTTCATTTACAGCTGTAAACGATCATATTTTCACACTATATTCTTTAACTTTAGAAACTGATGAATGAAGAATGTGATTTTATTTTTAGTAAATTTAGGGTGATCAATTTTAAATAGTAAAAATGATTTCTAATACAAAAGCAACAGTTTAACAAATTAAAATCATATTAAGCATTCATGGGAACATCAATATTAAAAGGTTACAAATGTAAAAGTTGTTTTGTATGACTTGAAGTAATGTGTTGTAACAGTAAATATAATAAGAGAACTTATGTATAGGAACTATATACTCATAATTTGAAATCAGTTGAGTTCAGGTGCTGTGGAGTAAAAGAAAAACAAGGCTGAGCAAAGCAGTGAGCTGCAGGATCTGGCAGGGACACACTGGAAGCTGGGACTTCTGTAGAGCTGGACTCTGGTGCTTCACATCTGGAATGATGCTGCCATCAGCTCCTCTGGCTCCTGTAAACACAACAATGGTAGAAAGTTACTGACAGCCTCTTCCCAACTGTCATGAACCTACTGAACTCTGAGATCGCCTCATGATAACCTCTCTGGCATGTAACAGTAAATATGGCAACGTACAATACACTGCTTACTCATACAGTATGTGCAATATTTATCTTGCTGCAGGACACCACTTATCAGTGAAGTCAGTTGTTAATGTAACGTTATATTTATTATTTTGCTCTTATGTTAAATTACTGTTGAACTGGTATTACTTAACATATATTTTTTGATCATTTTAATGCACCTTTGAGTTGTCACAAAAGTAATCTGTGCTACACAATAACAAAAAGGGCTTGAATCTCGAAAGTAAGCAGGGCCTCACAGGTTAAAAATACATACAGCTGGAGAGCCTAGACTAAACTCAGAAGCGGCTGTCATTCAGCTAATCTTTCTACATAACTAATACTTGACCCAAC